GTGTTGTGCTCTTTTTGATGCGCTCTCGGTCTAAAACAAAATGATAAACTTTGAAGGTCAGAGCTGTGACCAATCACAAAGCAGTACAAATGAAGTCATCTATTTAAACAAATTAAATGTAAAAAGGGAATTAATAACTTCATGACTAAAAGGTAGCAAGTGAATTACTTTTCCCACAAATATACTTGAGTAGAAATAAAAATATTATTTGAAAATGTTTAAAGATATACAGATTCATCATAGGTGTGCTAACGTCTGACCTATCGCCTTTAGAGGGCAGCGGTGAGTAACATTTGTTTATTTGATGTTAATGACTCCTTAGGGGGCGGCAGTGAGCGGCATTTGTTTGTTTGATGTTTGTTAATGACGCCTTTAGAGGGCGGTGATGAGTAACTTTTTTAATGTGATGTTTGTTAATGATGCCATTAAAGGGCGGCGGTGAGCGACGTTTGTTTGTTTGATGTTTGTTAATGAGGCCTTTAGAGGGTGATGTTTGTTTATTTGATAGTATTGACAATTAGGAAGTGAGATTGCTAGTCAGCCAATCTGGGCACTTGACCTGTAATAGTTACACAAAATAAGCAGAAAAAGATGAAATAACTGTGAATAAATCTTTAATTGCAATTATTCATATGCTGATTAATTGTGACAAGCTTAACTCTACCTTCATACTTCCTCCATGTCAAGTCAAGTCAAGTCAAGTCAAGTCAAATTTATTTCTATAGCGCTTTTTACAACAGATGTTGTCACAAAGCAGCTTTACAGAGAATCCGGGTCCACGCCCCCAGTGAGCAAGCCTTGGCGACAGTGGCAAGGAAAAACTCCCTCAACAGGAGGAAGAAACCTCGAGAGGAACCAGACTCAAAAGGGGAACCCATCCTCCTCTGGTCGACACCGGATAACAGCTCAGACACAAAACAGTATAAGTGGATACAGTTTAACACGCATCTCAGGTCAGACCCTCTTTGGACAGGCAGCCGCTCAGCTCAGGGAAAGAGGGGGCGGGGCGAGGGCGGGGTTGGGGGGGGATAAGGGGGACAGATAGTTAGGAAAGCAAATTAACCAAAGGCTCGACTAAACAGGTAAGTTTTTAGCCTAGACTTGTGTCCCAGATGAAGTGATAGACCTTGATACTTAAGCTTTAGTCATCAGCTTTTTATTTTTTTGTCCATCACACTGGTACATGTCCACTCATAAGTCTTGAACTGAACAGGCTTGTGTTGTACTTTCCTAGAAAAGTGAACCAGACTGTTCTGTTCCAGAGGCTACTAGTGCTCCTTACCTTCTTCTGCCCCTTTTAGATTCTGTAATTGTTGTGCAGGAGTTTTCAGAAAATGGGTTTTTAACTAATTGCAGCTGGACCACTCCATTCTGGAGTGTGCATTTTCCAGTGTTCGCTGCAGCTGAAGTGTCCTGTATGAGCTGTATGGTCTTTTACACAGCCTGTATTCTTGAGAGCGCTCCTTATCTGTTGGTCCATGCTTTGTGGCTTTTTCTTCACAGCTGAAGAGATTAGTTGGCAGTTATTCTGGTCAGGAAGTGCTCAGATGGCAAGTTTAGCTTTTTTTTTTGACATTGCAGCCACTGAAACTTTAAAACAGCCGTTACACAAAACTACAAAGCACTGTGTAAAATAACCTTTGTGCTTTTAAGATGCTCTTTCAGTCGGATTCCCTAACCCTAAACCCTAAGGGTGTCATTTAAACCATTAAAAAATCATCTATGTTAAATAATTAATTCGTTAAACATTTTACATAATTTTATGCCAAGGAAAAATGGCCTTGGAGCATCTTTACACCTTTACCCTCATAAAGATTGCAGAGAACCATGAATATGCATGATTATGCAAATTAGAAACACTCATATGTTCTCCCGACATCCCAGCTAAAGCCCTTCTCCACCGCCCTGGTGGCATAAGCTTCTGTGTCCTAGCACATAGGAGAAACCAGAGAACCCCAACCAGAGGTGTGGTCTCAAGTCATGTGAGTCAGACTCGAGTTACAAATTCGATGACTTGACTCAACAAAATTGGAAAAACATTTGCGACTTGACTTTGACTTGAACTGTGACTCGGTAAGACTTCCAAAGTGGAGGAAACGCACTGAAGCGTCTGTCTGCAGACGGAACTCTCTGCAGTCGCTTACTGTCCATGTGAATGCATTCATTTCTCGGTGCAGACGTGCTAGGACTGCATCGAATGTAAATTTGATATACAGCACCATCCTCAAATGTCTGTTACTATAGTTACGCTTGGATTATTTTATTTCAGAAGACGAGTGAAGCGTGAGAATTCAAATTCGCCCCATAAGCTGAAAACAAGCGAAGCATCAACAGCATCAGTAAGCCCTCGCTCAGGACTTAAACTCCAGTCTTACTGGAGAATCTCACCAGCCGAACTTACAGTTTCCCTCAAAAGAACCAGAGCGCTCTCTCTCTCTCTCTCTCTCTCTCTCTCTCTCTCTCTCTCTCTCTCTCTCTCTCTCTCTCTCTTATTCCCTCTCTCTCTCTCTCTCTCTCTCTCTCTCTCTCTCTCTCTCTCTCTGTGAATGATTTCTACTTCTGCAGTTAAAACAAGCACAGGGTTCACCACAAAGTTGAAGTTGACTTTTTGTTTGCCTGCTTCGTTATTACATTTTCCGCTCCACCTTAAACGGTGCAGCAGTTAAGGACGGAAAATTCGAATAAGAAGCCAAGTGCAGCCTCGAACACTGACCAGCAGTTTGTCAGCTTGTCTTTCACAGTCTTTTCTGTAAGCTTTCTTCAGCTCGGTTGTTTCGGTTTGTCATTTGTCGCCTTAATTCGGTTCAAACTAGAGGTTTGTTTAGTTTGCTGAGCTAGTTTTTATTTTAATCCTATGCTCCCAAAAATTATATTTAACCAGAAACCTTTTTGTCAATAGTGCTTTTCTGTGTATTAGGGCTACACAATAAATTGCACTGTTCACGATAAACAAAACGTTAAGAGCTGCATTGACATAACAGATGAAGTTGCTGGCACAAACCGTTGTCTTGTGTGGTAAAAAAAGTAACTTAACCATCAGGCTAAACAGCCAATCATAAAACACAAAGAGCACTGCTCAAACACTACTTTATCCTGAGTTACAAGCCTGTAAGAATGTCTTTATATGTAAAGTGTATGTGTACTTTGTGGTGAAATTTGTTTCGGTAGTGAAAATTATTAACGTTCTCCACAGACTTTCAGACTTTGAAACACGGTTACTTGGGATCTGACTGCTCACCATGTGGCCATGAGGGACAGGGATGCAGTCTCACTTCCTGCTCTAAAATGCAGGGGTGTGGCTAAAATAAGGCTCTGCCTACAGACTAAACCTCTTTGTGTTTTGGTAACGACATGACAACATGGGGCAGCTTTGACTAATTTTCACTTTAAAAGAAGAAATAAAAAAGAAATCTTGACAAAAAAAAAAAGAAAATACTGAAAATCTTATTTTCACAACTGTTATTTAGGGGTTGGGGTTTGGAACAGACTCCACAGAAAGTAACCAATAAATGATGATTTTGTATATATTTATTATCTCAGTAAGTGCCTTGGGTTTAAATAGATCATGACATAATCCTTATAAACATCTAAAGTTTGAATACTTCATTTTTATATTTATTTTACTGTGGGACTGCAGTTTGAACCAATTCAGTAAAATGGTCCATTTAATCATAATAAGCCATGATCATTTGAAAAGCACATTTTTGAGTCTAAATGTGGGTCTATAATGCTAAATATTGCTGTGATGATCATGTTACTGGTTTTGGCAAAAATTTAGGACATTAATAATGTACAAAACAGTCGAGTTTGGCATTCATACTTTGGCTGAACTGCAGTTTCAGCCCCATGACCTGCTTTTATTGCATTCACTCTTGTTTGGTCCTGATGCTGTGAGATACAGAGATATGAAAATCAAATGTAGATGTAGAACAGATGCTACACTTTACACTTTTTTTGCATGCATTGTGGATGCACTAACAATGAACACACCTTGCTAATAACAAACAGCTGCAGAGTCACTTGTCAGAATACATTTGCTGCTATTAAAAGAGAGCTTGTTTAATTATGCAGTGATTTTTGAAAATGGAATTTTTCAAAATTGCCGCATAATTAAACTTTTGAGGTGTCAAGAGTGCTTTGATGTGAAATGGGCCATTGTAGAAAAACTTACCAATATCTGTAACACAAATATAGCCACTGTATTTACTATCTAAACCACCAGTAAACCTGCATGTATCCTCTGAGTTTTATATGGAGTGTTGATGATGGTAAAATAGTGGTCAATCTGACTGATTTTAGGCCAGTGGTTAATGGAATGAATATTCATAACCATTTGATATATTACGTTTCTGTGAGGGAGCTTTTAGAGGCATTAAACACTTCAGACGTCTGGTTCCTATCACCACCACTGTAAACTGTTCTGACTCTAAGTTTCTCTAGAATAGTGCATTTCACATCTTAATAATGTAATTAGGCAGAAACTGTGAAAAGAATGGAATGAATTCTTCTTTAAAGGTAATAATAGATCCAAACATGCCATTGTTTCTTCATCTGCTTCAAGTAAAGAAAATTATTTTAAAATAAAAGCTGACTGTAAACACTCATTGTGTGTCACTCAGCATGCAGGCCTACACACGGAAGACAGCAGAATTACCATTTAAATACCTCTGGAACGTATTCCGAACTCAGTGTGAATACTTGGAATCTTATTGAAATAGAAACAATGTGAAGCTCTGAGCTCATCTTTACAAATCCGTTTCTAAAACCATTACTGTTCATTACAGACGGTTATTTGTATGCTTCCCTCATCAGGTCCTACTTTTATGTAAATCCTGTCATACAATGTTAAAGAACAGGCTCAAGTGTGATGTGTGAGCTTTGATTCATTCTTTGTTCTGCCAGCATAATGAAGGTGGGTTGATGGGATCGATGCGGGTGATGAATGCCAGCGGTCGCGACTCTCGTGAGACGGGAACTGATTGTGTTTGCGTCTCTTGCAGATGGTCTCTAAACGGGACGCTCATTGATCTTCGTGGTGACGAGAGGCGTCGCATGTCTGGAGGGAACCTGATCATTAAAGGGCTGGACCGGGACCAAGACACCGGGGTGTACCAGTGCTCTGCCTCCAACACCCGCGGAACCATCCTGAGCCAGAGAGCCAGTCTGCAGTTTGCATGTGAGTTGGAAGGGTTTAATGTTTCCCCAACTCAGCCCTGGAGCTTTGTGTCCAAGCACTGCATGGTGCAGCGCTGCTGTTCCAAATCCTGGCCCTGCGCACAAACTTCAACAAAGGACCGCCTTGTTAAAGTGATAGTCCGGCAAAAAATCGAATTTACTCAGTTTTCCCCCAAATGTAGTTGGTTGGCCAAAATATGTTTGGTGTCTGAAGTTTGCACCTTACGTTTTACACTGAAACTATGAAGGTAATATGGCTACCAAGTAATGCCTATGGCCATCAGTTAGCATGCATGCAAATTCGTGCACAGGTGAAAGTTGTTAAATGAAAATTCAACTGAATTTTAAAAATCTTGGCATAATTCTTTCATTAATATGTAAACAAAGGTCACATCCTATTTCTTATTTTTATCCCTACCCCTTGTTTTCGAGTGTCACTTTGCCCCTTGGAACTGAGTTACAAGGGGTAGTGGTTGAAATCTTCCCTCTAAAATGGGGACCCTCAAATAAAAAGAGCATCACTTCATTAACAGCTACCAGCGCTGCTCTGTAGGCGACCCTGCCAGTCTGCAGTGACAGCAGAGGAGGGTAAAGTTCAGCTCCTCACTGCTGGGCTTTAGTTACATTTTAGGGAATCGTGTGCCTTCAAAGAGGGGGACAATTATTTATTATCGTCCACCCCTAAATCTGTGTAGCCCTAACACTTCACCTCACCCCTCAGCCTCAACCAAAATTGGGACGCACTACTTCTTAGGCATGAATGGAGGGGTAGGGCTAAGTGGTAGGGATAAGGGCCAAGGTCATTCAGAGTGGTTTCATGTGAAATGGTTTATTGTAAAGAAACTTTACAGTGGTGGTGATATGAACCAGAAGCTGCCATGTCTACCACACAAATATAGCCATTTTACTATCCAAAACCACTAGTGGACCTACATGAGTCTGTACTCTCCACTATGAATGGAGTAAAATAAACATATTTCAATATGTTGTCAATTCAATATGTCTCAGGGATCAGGCAGCATATTCATAACTGTTTCATTTAATAACTTTCTGTGAGGGAGCTTGTAGAGGCGTTAACCTCTTCAGATGTCTGGTTCCTATCACCACCACTGTGACTAAGTTTCACTAGAACAGGGCATTTCACACCAAAGAACTCTGAATGACTTTGTTTACATCTTAACCATTTATTTATGTGGAAATTTTGAAAAATTGGTGGAATTCCTTTTCAAGGAACCTCAAACAGACTTGTTTATTTGGTTTCTGACACTGTGTGACAAACAGTTATACCGAAACCTCACTTAAACTTGCAGGTTATGCAGTGCTAACTGGACATAAGCTTCCATTACTTGTTAGTTCAGCCTTGGAGCACCAGTGCAAAACTACTGAAGAAACTTCACACCTTCACTACGTAAGCAAGAGCAAAATTATGTACATTTGACTTTTTAATTTTTTTTCACTGAACTATCGCTTTAATTAAAGCTGATTAGTGGGATCAGCTTTCTTAGAGCAGGAAGACACACGGGACTGGAAGAACATTCATAGAGTGGGGAAAGTATTAACACAGCTCTGAAGAGGTGCTGGGATTGGAGATGTATTGGGGTATATGTTAGACGTATGTGTGGGTGTTCATTTGCCTGTATTTCGGTGTATAAGCCGTTTCTCGCTCATCTCTCGTGGCTGTTCGGTTTATAAGGCAGCAAATGAGATTTCTCAGCAAAAGAAAGCGGAATCGAGCTGGATGTCAAATGCAACAAGCTCAGAAGGGTGGAGCGGCGTTTGATTAGCTTCAGACTCCACCATCGATTCCCATTAGTCAGTGCATTGCCAGCTTTAACAGAATCTTTGAACAATCAATTGACTCATGCTGCCATGCTCCTAAGATGGTGTTTCCCAGACTGCAGGGCCCACCACCCACGGGACTGTCAGAAAGCCACTGAAGCATAGAGGTATTCAAAGGAAATTTATATATATATTTTCTAAATGGGGCTGTCAAAGCTTGTGTTTTTTTCCTCGGGAAACCAGTTTCCACCAGAAGTCGAAGCGCTCACCTCGAACACTCGGTGAGACGATAAATCAAATGAGTCAAGACAATTTTCCTACTTGACTCATCGGAACAGGTTTTACTCGTAGCTGCTCTTAACCTTTTGAGCTCATGAGCTTGCGCTGAGGCTCACGCCTCATCTCAGAGGCGAGAGGAGATAAGAGCCGTCCTTGCTGAGGGCCGTTTCCTGCCGGAGAGCGCAGGTCCTGTAGGTTTCTCTGCCCTCTCTCGCTTTCTCCACGTCATGTCTCCTCGCTATCGATCGGCTCTCTGGCCGAAGAGAGCATCCCACTCTCCCCTTAGGAGACAGGCTGCCACTATCCTCATGGGTAGGATAATGAATCTCGCTTGAGAGGATTGGTTAAAAGGAGCCGCTTGACATTTATTTCCCTTATTGATCACTGGGCAGTTGAAGGGGAGTGGTGGTTTTAATAGGGCGCTATTGCTGCCAGCTTTCATTACCTGCCATTAAGGTGAGACCTTGTTATTTTGGACGACTTTGAATAAATCAGCGGTCATGTCAAAGCGTCTGATCTCTTTTTCTTATTAGCAAATTGCTTAGCCAGCAGTTTGGATTGTGCTTTGTTAACGAGGCATATAGAAACTCTGTACGTCTTTCTTTATGCTTTCAACTATATGAGCGCACATCGTTATGGACCGCAGATGGTGAGAACCTGAATGGAAAAGCTGAACTCGCTACTTTCGATGCCCACTTCATAACTTCATACCAAATCAATACAAGAAACAGAGATAGAATCCCGCAGCATCAGCTTCCAGCTCCTGGCCTCACCTGTTTGACCTCCGTATCTGGACTGATATTAATGTTCTTCATTACAAAGCACCCAGACACACGCCGCCACTGTGGAGGTGCCTGGCCTCTCTGCAAACTTTGCGCCGCATGGGCCGAGCAGTATAGATTCCAGGCCGAGAGCTCATTAATCAGCCCCGGAGCCTCAGCCTCTGTGACTCTGCTCCCTTTTCCTCCTCCGTTACGGTCTAGGACGTCTCTTTCTTTCAGCAGGGAATCTCTCATTAGGCCGAGGCAGACCGAGTCCCTCCACCACCCTCAAACTAATCCCGCTGTTTTCTTTGCTTTTTGAGTCCACCATCGCACCGCCTCCCGTCCAATTTGTCTTATCGGTCACATTGACTTCCTTTTGTTTGGCTTGGGGAGCTCCAGGCTCGGCTGTTTGCTCGAGGATGCGAGGCTGGCAAGCGTAAGCCACGGTCACTATCAGCTTTACTGCCATGATTAGAGAGCATGCTTTATATCAGGCCAGGTTAAGGAGTGTGTCATGGGTATTGTCAGTGCTTCTAGAACACCTAAAGGGGAATTCCACTCATTTTACAGGATTTCTGCGGAGTTAAATGGTTAAAGTGTGTGCAAAGTCATTCAGAGTGGTTTGGTATGGAGAACTGTTCACAGTGGTGGTGATAGGAACCAGACGTCCACCTCTAAAAGCTCCCTCACAGAAAGTTATTACGAAGTGTTTACGAATAGAATCGGAGAAATCTGAATCATTTTATTTCGCCAAGCATGTTGTACATGCGGGGAATTTATCATGGTGAGCGCACACTTATAAGCAGACTAGACAGGCTATTTATAAATATTAATAGAAAATAAGATATTAACCAAAAGAAATAACAATGAAATAAATATACTGTCGTTATTGTGTTAAATTACCTCACAGTGTTGCTGAGTCTGATGTCTGAGTCATTGTTTTAGTGGGAGGTGTTGATAAGGTTTTGGCCTAAAATGTGCATTTTAAAACCTATACATAGTGGAGGGATACATGCAGGGTGTTGTGAGGCAAAATAGTTCCCATATATATATATATATATATATATATATATATATATATATATATATATATATATATATATATATATATATAATATACACATTTATTTATTTATTTATTTATTTATTTATTTGTTTATTATACAGTTCTCAGGGTTTGTATTTTGGTCTAAAGCACTAATCGAATGCCTCTAAGTGATATTTGTGAGCCAGCAGAGTATTAAACATACCCTACTTGTACAATGTTAATGCAAAGTTTATGCATAATAATACCTTTATAAACCACATATGGTATACGACAGTAGTGCACCACATATGCTGAATCACGTGACCCTCACTATTCAATCTGTTTGTGTAATTTAGTTTATATTATTAAATATATCACGAACAGTCCGAGTTCCTTTGCTTGCATTGCACACCAGAGAAATCCAGGAACTAGAGAAGTGCAGAACAGCAACAACTGCACTGTTATTTTGAATAGATTTTGTATTTTGAGTTCTCTGTTCAGTAGAGATGTAACCAGATGTGAATAGGCTGCATTAGTCAGAACGAAGAGATGCATTCTCCTGCATTCAAAACAGATACAGATACAGATCTGAATACATGGAACATTTTTGTTATTGTTGTTGACGCTTTAACTGCAGAGATATTTTTATCTGCAGAAAACAACTGAGAGCTTACTTGTACTTTTATACTCACTCCAGAGACTCGCTTTTCATACTCATTACTCATTATACCATGTTAAGAGAAGATAAACCCGCTGTCCTTCTACAAAGATGACATTTTTCTCACAAACTACCTCCTGTTCAAGGATGTCATTCATTTTACATAGTTAGCAGGTCTGACTAGTTACAACCAGCGAGGAGATATTAAAAATGCAGTAAACATCAAAGCAGTCTCAGGAGGTGAATAGAGGTATGATGTAGAGGTCTTATCTGAGCTTTGTGATGATGGCAACTATGATGGTTAGATGGTTGTAGCTGTGGAATTTCTCACTAAATAAAAATAAAATACATATACTTTTGTTGTGTTAAATTATATCACAGTGTGCTGAGCCTGATGTCTGACACATTGTTTTAGTTATGAGTTTGGGGAAGGTTTTGGCCTAAAATGTGCATTTTTAAATCTGTTCATAGTGGAGGGGTACATGCAGGGTGTTGTGGGTGTTTTTTCAGATTTATTACTATTTTTCTATTTTTAAAGAATCCATATAAAACTCAGACAGGTATAGGTTCACTGGTGGTTTTGGATAGTAAATAAAATGGCTATATTTGTGTTGTGGACATTGTAACCTCTGGTTCCTGTCGCTCTGAATGAAGATTTAATTATGCAGAGCACTAAAAAATGGTGGAATTCCCCTTTAACGATTGCATATATCATTAAAAGCTTTAGACTACTTACAGAGAGCCTCTGACCAACAGCACCCAGTTTATGCATAAGCTGAAAAGCACTGTCAGCCCATTATGCTTATCCAGTTTTACTAATGCATTTTATATTTATTAAGAAATAGTTTACTGTTTAATTTGAATGAAAAAAATAATTATACTCAGTTTTAACATAGGCTTTTTTAGATGTAGCACTGCTGTTTTGTTGATGCATTTTGTTTATTCCAGCTTCTGGGAAACAAAGTATCCTGATAGATACAGAACTGCGAAAGTCATTTATTTAATTTCCAGTAAAATCAGCCATTAAGTACAAGTTACTCATTTTTCAGCATCAGGGAAAAACAGAGAACATGTATTTAATGGGAAATTATGCAGAAGCCTCAACAACTAAATATAATATCATTTTTGTTAGTATTAGTTTGTCCACTCTTTATCTTTATTACAGTTTCCATTCTTTTCAGGAGACTCACTTTCAGTTTCCTCAAAGAATCTGCAGACACACCTCCAAAGTTCAGTCTTAGAAGCTGGTTGATCATTTTCTGAATAATCAAACACATTCAGTGGTGTTGAGGTCTGGACTCTGGGGTGGTCAGTCCACTGTTCAGCTTCTTTGTTTGATGTGTCCGTCTCCTTTTCTCAGTGAGGTTCTTCTTGACAGCTACACATCCTTTCAGACCCACAGCGCTGAGTCGTCTTCTCACAGTGGAAGGATGGACAGAAACACCTGTGGATGTTTTCAGATCTGAAGCAGCTTGATTTTCTCCCCTCTCTCAGAGATGAAAGCTTTAAGTGCTGTTTATCTGATGGGGGCAGTTTTGGTGTCTACCAGGTCTTCCAGGTGGTTGTTAGGAGTCCTATTTTCTCTGTAGCTTCTAATCATTTTCTGAACTCATGTTTTGGAATCTGCGACTTTCTCCTTCCTTATGCCGGTGGATTATCCTGTATCTAATCTCCTGAAAATGAATGTGTTGCCATTTTGACTGGATATTTAAATAAATGGTGGTCTCTGAATTTTGCACCATGCTGTAAATTGCATTGTTAAAATGCCCTCCAGAATCACAGTGTTGTATTTTTGCCATATCGCCCACTCAGACTACCAGCTCTCTCTCTCTCTCTCTTTTTCTCAACTCATTAATTTGAAGGTGGTGAACAGGCCGGAACCTCGTTGACAAGGAGGATAATGCTTCCAGAGTGTAAAGATTAGGGCTTATTTGATAATAATGCTGGTATATCTCTCTGGCATAGAGGGAGAGCAGTTGCTGTTCTCTCCGCTCCCTCCATCCCGCCCTCTGCTTTATCCGTCCCTAGGAGCTAATCCTGCAGTCGGCACGGCGGGCTGCATTCTGACACACCCACCATATGCTGAAGTCCATTTCACATTACAAAAGCAGCAATCAGCCGTCAGATAGAGGGTGACTCAGTGGAGCTAAAGAGTCGACCTGGCTCCGGCAGTCTGAAATTACTGCTGTCGCCACCCCTGCCTCCCAAATGATGATGGTGCTCTACCTGCAACTGTGTTAAAATCTACCTATTACAGTATCTGATGTCTAGGTTTGTGTTTATTGTTTTGTAGATCTAGAGAACTTCAAAACCCAGCCCAGAAGTGCGGTGAACGTGAGGGAAGGCCAAGGTGTTGTGCTGTTATGTGGTACCCCTTTGCATTCTGGAGGTAAGACTGGGCTTTATTACAGATGCTGTTACAGCTGTCTGTCTGCATATAACACTTGATCACGTGATCATTACTGCATTGCTCAGAACGAAGGTGCATTCTGTTGCATTCAAAACAGATACAGATACAGATCTGAATACATGGTACATTTTTGTTGTTGTTGTTGTTGTTGTTGTTGTTGTTGTTGTTGTTGTTTTAACCGCACTGATATTTTTATCTGCAGAAAACAACTGAGAGCTTACTTGTACTTTTTATACTCACTCCAGAGACTCGCTTGTCATTCATTTTACATAGTTAGCAGGTCTGACTAGTTACAACCAGCGAGGAGACATTAAAAATGCAGTAAACATCAAAGCAGTCTCAGGAGGTGAATAGAGGTATGATGTAGAGTTCAGAGACCCTCCCTGATACAGAGTTTCATGGTATGGGAATTGAAAATTAGTTATGATTTCCAGGATTCAATATATACCGTTCACTCCCCAGTCCATAGTCTATATATGCAAACAAAGCTACAAAAACAGCCCATTTTGAATTCATTGTTTTTGTGATGTCAATGCATAGATATGCCCACCTATTCAGCCAACAACAGTTTAGCCCCGCCTATTCACACTGAAGTTATAAGGAGTGTTTTAGCTTGGACTGCTTACCGATTGAGGCACAATATAGGGCAGCCAGTCAGGACAGAGCTCATTTACATGTGTTGATCTTAAAAGCACAGTGACTGTTTAATTCTAAAGGTGAAAGAGGTGAAAATGGTCAGTTTTGCCTATATTTGGCTTATAAAACCACACAAACGTCATAAGTGGTTAATATGCTGGAGCCCAAATAGGAGCTCAGAACCCACAACATTAGCTGACCGGTGTGAAACAAAAGGAACCCTTACTTTCCATCTTGGCATGTTAGCTGTGCATAATCAAGGCACAGGTCAGGGTCCCAGCTGTTCTACTCTGAGCATGTTCCGCATCTCACTGGGCAGCAGACGCAGCTCAAAAACTGGCAGCGCTGTTCAGGCTTTGGTAATTAGAGAGGAGTTGCAATGAATGAAGGACCAACAGTGTGAAACATTCATTTCATTCTGAGATCGTGACAATTACGGCAACAGATGAGACGTCAGAAACGAGAAGACGTGGGATTTGTTTCATATGCCGGCAATTAGGATTTGTGGAGATAATTAATCTGTGATTAATCATTTGTGTAGTTAGAGGACATGAACCCCGGTTTGGAGTAGAAAAATCGCCTTCATATTTTCACTCTTTCAAAAGCTTACTGCAGACTAACCACGATAGTAGGACATAAACTATACTGTCAGTTGTTTAGTCACTTGTCTACAAAGTATTTTAGAGCATAAGTAATTACTTTTTCAGTGCTACTGTGCCGGTAAGCTGTGGACCTCCTAAAGAAACTCATTGGAATGGATTTTTGCAAACGAAGCCCTCGCCCTTCTCACCTGCCTGGCCCCCATTTATTGTTTCATTTGAATCATTTTGTTTTCAATTAGACTCAAATCTGCCGGCTAATGGAAATATACTCTACGAATTGGAGTCTCAATCCAGTCGGAAAGCAATATATTTCTCAGCAAAATGCATTCTCTGCTCCAAGCAAGCAATCGATAGTATGTTTATCATGTTTAAAATGCAATGGAGAACATTTAGCTGGACGCATTGTCACTGGCTACTTTGCATTCTTAGCCAGAAGAAAGCTTTCCAGTTTACAGCAAAATGATGCAAAAGTTGGAATAAGAGAAATGTGGTGTTCAGGGAGCTCAAAGGCTTTCCAAAGCATTCCAAAGCATTCTAAGCAATTGCTTAAAATCTTGTCAGCTTTATGGATGGCTAGAATGTAAAACAGTACTTATCAGTATTCAAAAATAGCTTTTACAGTGTAGATTGAAATGTTACAAACTAGAGTAGACACGCTCATGAAATTTTAGCTAACGTTTAATCATTATAAGTAGTTGTGATCTGTCTTTTCCTGTTCATTGTGCTACTATAAATGTACGTATAAAGTAGTATAAAGTGGCTAAACTAGCTGATAAGCTATCTTGCTTCCTAGCTAAGTTTTTTGGATGCTAACACTGGTTGTACTGTTGAAATGATCCACTACACTGTTGTTTACAGTTACGTTGAATCATGTGTAAAGTCAAGAAATGCTACAAAAAATCTACATAGCTAACAAATAACAAAACGTATGCAAACATTACCGTCAGCTTTTGAGCTGAACAACACTAAAAATTGTCATGTGTCATCACAGCTGACCAAAATTGAAAGAAGTAGCATTACTGAGTCAAAAAGTACATCAATAAATAAAAATAAATAAGCAGGAGACTAACATATGGTGAGTGTGCATGGCTGCGAGTCGCCATGTAAAGCTTGAAATAATCATTTAAAAGTTGGAGCTGTTGGGTCGGGAGTTTTTCACACCACGTCATACGTTTTTATGTATTAATGCTACACGCGCAGACTCAAAAAGAAGGTCTGGCTTGATGTTTAGATCTCAAATACAAAATCAATGTTATGCTGATGAAGATATGATGACAGTAGTAGATAATTCACTACATTTTCTTAAGACGCATCTTTCACCAAGTTTTGACTGAGTTCTCTTTGAATTCTCTTTCAATCATTAGATTCATCTGATAGGGGAAAGGGGTCCGAAGCACAACCCATGTTACAAATTGGTCTACAGCAGGTTATATGCAATTACACATTTTTACCAGAGAGGTCTCCAAATCCCCATTTCTTATAGAGTGCAGCTTTAACGTTCATTACGCAAGTACATCATACGGCCGTTATGAAACGCTCCACCGAGCGAGAAATCCTAACTGCTTGTGTACCCACTGATGTAGCAGCTAATAAAGACAGATGTGATTTCTTTCTACATTCACAAGCTAAACTTTTTGGCAACACTTTATTTGGGCAACACATCAACAACATATCAGTGAAGTAGCAGCAGTGAAGCATCTGAATACATTGAAGTAAATATCTTGTAGATGTTCTGTTGATACATTACTTACATTAAGTAGATGTGTTGTTAAAACCTAACCATACCAACCTTACCCAACACCTAACCCTCACCCTGGCCCTAATCCTAACCCTAACCTTAGCCTCAACACAAAACCTAATCCTAATCCTAACCCTAACCTTAGCCTGAACACAAAACCTAATCCTAACCCTAACCCTGACCCTAATCCTAACCCTAACTTTAACTTTAACCTCAACCCAAAACCTAATCCTAACCCTCACCCTGACCCTAATCCTAACCCTAACTTTAACCTCAACCCAAAACCTAATCCTAACCCTCAAATGTTTTTGACATGTTATTGAGAGTCCATTGAGTGTTTGTTTCATTTTAAAAGGACGGTTCAGAATAAAATCACTAAATTTTAAATTCCTTCACGATACATCAGAAGAAGTCTTTTCTAGTCTTTCAATGGGAAAATCTCTTCACTAGAGGTTACTGTGGAGCCACTATAGGACATGAGTAGTTGTTTATGACACATAAGGCAATGGTTGCATTTTTCATTTTGGCTGGAGTGTCCCTTTAATATGCTCTAATCATTTATTTGAGGTATTTGTTCCGGTCATTATCACTAATCTTCAAAAATGAGGCATTCTTGATATATTTAGTATCATTAGCTTCCTATAAACATTTTGAACTTATGACGTCATAGAGTGCTATCATTTCAGAATCAATGTATTCCTGTATCTGCAGCAAAATTATTGTATTATTTGAGGCTTTTGCTGAACGTTCCATAAACATAGACAGAAATAACTGAGTGCTTTTTACCGAAGCTGCTGCCTTTTTGCAGGAAACCACAGTAGCCTTTCAGACTAAGGACCACTAATGCCCTTTCACTTAATAATAGAAATGTGAAGTGGTCAGATGTGTTGCTGTAGTGACCTGTTTATTATATTTTATTTTTTTTTTTGCCTTTAAGCAGAGCGAGCAAGAAGGACTTGCTGTGCTCAGTAGCTTCCGAAACACGAACGCCATGAATAACCGCGACCTTGAAGCGTCCATTGTTATTCACAGACTTCGGGCCGTGCTTGTAGCCTTCGCTGTTGCCTCACTTCCTTGAAACCGCGGATGGCAAACGCAGTCACCGTATGCCGTATTGTGAATCCAGCAGACGTGCGTGCTTAAAGAACACTTTCTGAGAGCTCATTCTGAACACTCGTTTACTGTGGAGGGCTGTATTCACCCCGGCTTTATAAACACATGCATCTCGGAATGATCTTCTCTGCTCATCTTCCTGTTATGGGAAGCCACTATGTAAAGCATTTTCCAGCAAAGGTGGTCCCAACTGGGGCTTTTTCTTTTCCTCCACTTTCTCTCTCTTGACTTTCTGTGTGGTTGACGAATACAAGCGCTGCTCATTAGGCTAGCTTAGCTCTGAGTCAGGGATGGCCGGTCGGTCTTGGCGGCTGGCTTAATCAGAACGAATCGCTTTTGGCTGCAGCACATCCGGAGCTCAGGTTCCACAGGCATCTTCTCCGGGGACACGGGATGAGTGACAGGAGTGTCACACACACTTACAGCACTGTTACACCTGAGATGATATTTAACCTCTCGAATAGTCAGGTCGAAACTTTTATTACACATTTCTGTAACTTAAAGGTGAATTACACTTTTTCACATTTACACACTTTTACACATTTTTCAAAATTTCCGCTGTGGTTCAGATGTAAACAGAGTCAACCAGAGTGCTTTTGATGTGAGCTGTTAATTTCTGGACATACAGATTCATATTTCTTTACAATCGTGGTGAAAGAGCAAGGGGTCACAATATCTACAACACAGATATAGCCATTTTACTTAGTATCCAAGACCACCAGTGAACCTATGCATGCCTTTTATATGCCATTTACATTTACGGCGTTTAGCAGACGCTCTTATCCAGAGCGACTTACAAAAAGTGCTTTGTCTATCTAGAGAAAGTATCTTTGCTAGTTACAAATATGAGTTGCTAGTTACAGATATGTAATGTAAGTGAAGGTAAAATAGTAGTACATCTGAATAAAGGAGTCTTCTTTAGGGGCTTTTGCCTTATTTTTTATGGTTAGGTGAGGTAATGCCAATTTACCCCTGGACATTTACATACATACATACATACATCATCTAAACCGCTTATCCTTCTGGGTCGTGGTGGGGTGCTGGAGCCTATCCCAGCTGTCAATGGGCGGAAGGCAGGATGCACCCTGGACAGGTCGCCAGTCCATCGCAGGGCAGACAGACAGACATACACAATCACAATCACACCTAGGGGCAATTTAGCATGTCCAATTAGCTTAACTACATGTTTTTGGACCGTGGGAGGAAACCCACGCAGACACAGGGAGAACATGCAAACTCCACACAGAAATGACCCTGGTCGCCCGGCTGGGAATCGAACCCAGGCCATTCTCGCTGTGAGGCACTAAGGCTAGCCACTTCGCCACCGTGCCGCCCGCCTGGACATTTGTAATGTTTAAAATATTGAATTGTTTTATTTATATTAACCATTTGCTCTCTCTGATGTAAATACACTGCGTCATTAGCGTCACTGTTAGCTTGGGAATTTGCTGCAAACAGTCAACTTTACCGCATAAAATCAACATTTTGTCTGTAATTTTTACATGTTCTAAGTTGTAAATGTACATGAAGAGTAATGTGACATATATGATTTTAGCCACAGAGAACAATGAGACTGAAGTCGGCTTCTTATTCATCAGCTTCTTGTTCGAACGCCCTTTCCCGTCCCACCTTAAATGGTGCGGCAGTTAGCGCCAGAATGTAACTCCCATATCATTTAAGGTGGAACGGGAAAATTTAAATAAGAAACTGGCAAAATAGAACTTCAGCTTCGTCAGAGAAGACAAGTAAGTGCTTCTGCATCATCTCCATACTGTTCAATGCCAGTTTCAATAAACAGAAATAATACAGTTATCATAAGCCTGTTGAGTCCCTTTTAGAATTGTTTTCGAGAAGCTATTCAGCTCTGTCACTCTGTGCACCCCCCCATGTCAAACTCACTCCTACGCCCTTGTTTCTCACTACGCTATTCTCTGATTCTAACAAGGGTATTAATTAAATGTAGCTTAAGCAACAGCTCCACACACTAAAGCACAGGTTTACCACGGGTCTCTAAACCTGTGTCAGTGAGGCTTAACTGAGCCAGAATGAAGCTGTGTGTTTGTGTGTAAAGCTGTGTATGCCTTCATGCTAAGCTAACACTAGCTTCTAGTGCTTACTAGGATACTGAAGCAAAAGCAGCTTAAGCCAACAGCCTCAGACACAAAAAATATAGATGTACCTGCTCAGGTCTGAGTCTTTATTCTCTAAACTTGTGTCTGTGAAGCTTCAGTGTGTTATAATGACCCCATGTTGTGGCCAGTGGAGCTGTAGCATGCTAAGCTGCTGCAGTAAAATGCTACCTGCTTCTAGAACAGCTCTATTCTCATTATTTGACAGGTTTATTAAGTAGATGTGGAGCATAAAATTGATGCAAATTTAAGCACCACCGTGATTTATCCATTTTAGTTCATGGCAAGCTGCAAACATTTCAAACAAGACTCAAAATTACATCTGGTACAAATAAATTAATCAATAAATAATTGTAAATACACATTTTTGAGTGCAGGGGGTCTTTAAAAGTGTACGCCTACTGAATTAATAGTTTTTAAACAAAATTCTTGTCCGGATTAAGACTTTTGCCCAGTGCTGTAGTTGTAGTTCTGACACTCGCATCCACTATAAAAGACCTCGCTCTCCTGTCCTCTGTTGTTTTTCTCCTTTTGTCTTCTTCAACCGCCCCCATCCACACTTCTCCTGTGGATGACACGCTAATGCAGCATGGCAGGCTGCTCCGTCCTTCCCGCCTCTGCCTTTTCCAGCGGGGAGGGGGGTGAGGAGGGGTTTAGCCAGGCATGAACGAGGCCAGCCGAGGAGGCCTCATCCCCAGTGCCGAGCCGGACAGGGCATGTGTCATGAGAGTGGCAGTGAGGCGCTTTTAATCTAGTTTGTTTCGCTCCCTTTCCTGGTGCCTTGTGAAGCACGAGCTGCTCTGTTTACCAGCCCCCCGCTGCCCACCTTTGAGGGGAGGGGAGCCCAAGGCGAAAGCGAGAGTGGGATGATACGGCCACTGTGCGCCTGTCCTCACAGGTTTGCCCCAACACAGTGGTAACTCTGAAGGTGTGAGGGACTGAGCTAACCCCTTAAACCCGAAGGACTCGACACTTCAGTTCCTCACTCTAATAACTGCAGAAACTGCATATTAGCTTAATAGCAGATGCTGAATAATAAGCAGTCTCCACTGGCATATCCTTCAAACACATTTACTCACAGTTGAATTATTTATCACTCTGAACAAGCAGAAATTTTTCGGAAAAGTGCAGATTCTGAATTTTTGGTTCATGTCATATTTGTCATGGTAAGTAGATGAGGAGATATTTTGTTATGATTAGAACTTGAAAAGTTTTTGAGTATATTTTTTTTACATTTTGTCATGTTTTTGTCATTTTTTGACTGAAATAAATGGAAGACAATGAGAGCATTAGAGAATATTAATATTAAGCTTCACTAAGTTTCACAAAATGCTTTATTTAAAAAATTAAAATTGCACATATAAACAATAAAAAAAACAAAAAGAGATGACAAACATTAAAAATGTAAAAAACAATAAAAGCAGACAAAAAAACAAAACATTTTCAAAGTGAATGTAAATTGAAAATTAATTACACAGCGTAAATAATTACGTACTTGGTTATTACGCAATTTCATTTCAGCTCTAATCATGCCTGAAATTCTGGTCCAAACCCAAATACAGCTTGAGAACTTTCTGTCCGAGCCTGAGCTGACTCAAGTTTTGAGTCTGAAGTCAGCCAGATTTGTCTGAGCCTGATCGAAACCACATCATTGAGTCCAAATGTGAGTCCAACATGCTTCTGTCTAAAACTGATGCGAACCAGCCCACCATGACCCAAACTGCCAAATAGAAGCTCATATTTCCTTTTAAAATTAAGTTTAATTTTCACTTTAATGATTTTAAGCTGTGCTTTCGAACAACATCCTAAACCTTTCTTAGTCTGGATAAACTTTGCACAAAGCACTGTTCTCACACTGTGTGGTCAAATGCAGTGTAACATCTGTACAAGTATGAGGAGGGTTAGAGAACCTAAATGTGAAGTGTGAACCCGACCCAAACCCAAACCCAGTGGGAACAGTTCAGACTTTTATTTTAAACTCTATTATTTAAAGCCACACTCTTAGCAAAAAAAGGGTTCTATATAGTACCAAAAAACGTTCTTTGGCGCATAACAACAGTTGAACCCTTTTTAGTGGTACATGGAACCCTTTTCCAAAAGGTTCTATATAGAACCATCTTTAGCACATTCTCCATTAATCTGAACAACGATTTCATGATACAAAGAACCCTTTAGCTATGCAAAGGGCTCTTTGAGTGTTCATGGTTCTATATAAAGCCATTTTCTTGACTAAAGCACCTTTGAAGAACCATCTTTTTAAGGGTACATTTATCATAACAACAAGTGTTTTTCCTTATAAAATCTCCATATATCGTCAGAATAAATGCAAGTAAACATAATAAAAGCAATAAGAACTTCTTTTTTTCATAAAAGTAGTTGATGTCTTCGTAAACTAGGTTGATGAACAAAATTTGGTTCCAATTTTTTCCTCGGTGCCTCAGCAGCGCTCCTGATTTAACACAATACAGTACTGATTAGCCAATCCGGGTATGATAACTACAAATAATGCTAGGCTGCCACGTGGAGAGGTCTGGAAATGTTAAATTAATACACTGTCATTCATAAAACCACTGCTTATTACAATTAAATGATTTGTTTTTACCAGATAAACAGCTTTCAGTGCTATTTTTACTATCTCTATATTTTAGCTATCTCAGTACTGTACAAGTGATGTAGTATACAAATATTGTTAATTATGAAATATAACCAGTAGGTTGCAGGTTCAAATCCCAGGACTGACTGGCTACATCTAGAAGGGCCCTTGGGCAGGTCACTTACCTCCCCCACTGTTCCAGGCAGCATGGTTAGGCAAACTAATGGCCACTGATAATAATGTGTAACGTAAGTAACGTAAATGAAATGAAGAGTTAAGAACTAATTATTCGCCTCTGTTTCATATTCCAGAGCTCACTTTCACCTGGGTCTTCAACGAGTACCCTTACTTCGTCCAGCAGGACAGCCGGCGCTTCGTGTCCCAGGAGACGGGGAACCTATACATTGCTAAAGTGGAGCCGTCCGACGTGGGCAACTACACATGTGTTGTGAACAACAGCATCACCAAGGACAAAGTGCTCAGTTCCCCCACCCCTCTGGTACTGAGAAACGACGGTGAGGCACCCATCTTAATACCACATGGTCCTTTATCCACAATGACCTACTCTAAATGGGATGGAATCTGAGATTTGAAGGGAGATGCCTTTTTAAGAAAGGTCCCTTTTTTAAAGGCTATTTTAGAGATGCTTTCGGTAAATGCCATTCCTTTGAAGTCTGAACTGTTGCCTTTTAAAAAAAGCTAACCTGTAGCCTTGACAATGCCACAAAGAGGCCACATTTCCATTTGAGATGGATCCTGGTTTTACAGAGTGAATGCTTTAAATCTTTCATGGGGTGTTCTCTGTATTTTTTATGGATCTTCTCGGCGCAGTTCTTTGTGATTGCCCTCTTGTTGTTTTACCTGTATACAGGAGTATAAAGTGCGTATGGCATACATCATTGATTAAAAACATGGTTGTCTGCCCATCACAGGGGCGATGGGGGAGTACGAGCCCAAAATAGAAGTTCATTTCCCCGACACCGTGCCTGCTGCTAAAGGATCCTCTGTGAAACTGGAATGCTTCGCCTTGGGGAAGTGAGTCGTGCATGTGCATATTTCTGTGTCCTCTACCAGTAATGTTGATCTGGAGTTCACAGCCTCGCCTAGACATCATGCAGTTTTATTCCTTTTTGATACGCTGTTGTGGGAGACATGAAAGTCAAGATGATTCCTTTAGGTACCCTTTTAAACGCGATTAGCCTTCTGCAATGGTGATTTTTTTTTTTACAGGAGGCTCCTTACCGTAATGGTCCTCTTTTCACAGGGCAATAACCCAAAAAGATTTACTTCTTAAATAGTGTGGAAAACGGGCCGGATGCGCCTTTTAAGAGGCCAAGAAGGAGAGGCCTCATTTAGTACGGTGAAAAGCACGTTTTCAAAGAAGCGGAGATTACAGTCTTCGAGAGACCAAGTAGCAATATCACACCAGACTCGAGTGTGAATCAGATACGTTCACACTCGAGCTTCTTAATGCAGGCACATCCATCAAAGGAATCGACGAGGTAATAGAGCTGTGCCCTGCCTCACGTTTCCCCCTGTCATACTGTGAAAATTTCACCCTACTTCTCAGAGATATCTGCAGAGTTTTTCTGTGAAACGTTGGAGATGAAGTGGGAGAAGGTTCTTAGAAGCTGATAGGTTCTAGATGCACACTGGCTCTAGGAGCACATGGTTTTAGGAAAGCTCATGGGTTCTGGATGCATATTATGTTTAGAAACACATGGATTCTAGGAAGCACATGGGTTTCAGAAGCACATGGATTCTACGAAACAAATGGGATCTAGAAAGCACATGGGTTCTAGGAGGACATGGACTCTAGAAAGCATAGGTTCTAGGATGCACATTGGCTCTAGAAGCACATGGTTTTAGGAAAGCTCATGGATTCTGGATGCATATCATTTTTAGAAACATGGATTCAAGGAAGCACATGGGTTTCAGAAGCACATGGATTCTAGGAAACAAATGGGCTCTAGGAAGCGCATGGGTTCTAGAAGCATGTAAAGTCTAGAAAGCATAGGTTATAGGAGGCACATTGGCTCTAGAAGCACATGGTTTTAAGAAATTTTATGCATTCTAGAAGCATTTAATTTTTAGAAACATGGGTTCTAGGAGACGCATGGGTTCTAGAAGCACATGGGCTCTATGAAGTGTGTGAATTCTAGAAATACATGGGTTCTAGGAAGCACATGGGTTTCAGGAGCACATGGGTTTTAGTAAACACGTAGGCTCTAGGAAGCGCATGTGTTTTAGAAGCATGTGGACTCTAGAAAGCATAGGTTCTAGGATGCACATGGTCTCTAAAAGCACATGGTTTTAAGAAAGCTCATGGGTTCTAGAAGCATATAATTTTTAGAAACATGTGGGTTCTTGGAAGCGCATGGGTTCCAGAACCATATGGGCTCTAGGAAGTGCATGAGTTCTAAAAGTATGTGGGTTCTAGGAAGTACATAGGTTTCAGGAGCACATGGGTTCTAGGAAACAGGCTCTAAGAAGTGCATTAGTTCTAGAAGCATGTGGACTCTAGAAAGCATAGGTTCTAGGATGCACATGGGCTCTAGAAGCTCATGGGCTCTAGAAACACAGGTACTCTTGAAACATGTGGAAGCATGTGGGCTCCCGGAGCAAAAGTCCCAGGAAGCACGTGGGTTATAGAAGCATATGAGTTCTAGGAAGCATGCAGCCTCTAAAAAGCACATGGAGGAAGCATGTAGGTTCTGGGAAACACACTGTTCTAGAAGCATGTGGGCTCTAGGAAGCACATTATTTCCAGAAGCACATGCATTCTAGAAGCACATAGGTTCTTGGAAGGAAATGGACTCTAGGAAGCATGTAGGTTCTAGGAAGCACATGGGTTCTAGAAGCATGTGGGCTCTAGGTAGCACATACATTTTAGAAGCACATAGGTTCTAGGAATCACAGAAGTTCTAGAAAGCAAGTGTATTCTGAATGTACATGACTTCTAGGAAGCACTTATGTTCTAGAAGCACATATGCTCTATTCAGCACACAGGTTCTAGAATACATGATTTTTAGGAGCAGTTGGGTTTCAGGAAACACATGGGTTTCTAGCTGGCTGTGCTCTTCCCATCTCCCCACAGTCCAGTTCCTAGGATCAGCTGGAGAAGAACCAATGATGTGCCATTCCCCAGTAAAGTCAAACTGAGAAACTCCAACGCCATTCTGGAGATCCCTCGCTTCCAGCAGGAGGACACGGGAACCTACGAGTGCGTGGCGGAGAACAGTCGAGGGAAGAACGCAGCGCGAGGCCGCCTCTCTTTCCATGGTAAGCTATTCTTTTATAATGACTAAGTAATCACTGTGGCTGCCATGCAAGACTTTTTATAGCACTATCAGTATATAATGCACTTCATGTTAGTATGGAGAAAATGTTTGCCATGTTCTCTGCTAGTGAATTCATTGCTGATGGCAGGGTGGCTGTTGTGTGTGTGTATGATTTTTGCAGTACTTTTCAAATCCTGAATATTAGTCCATATAGCAAGCATTCCTCTACATTAGTTGGTGACATGCTGGGAAATGTAGTGTGTTTTGTAATGGTCTTAAAGCGATAGTTCAGCAATAAATCTGATTTACGTATTTAGATAGATAGATAGATAGATTTAGATTTAACATGCAAAGTTATTTCTGCTTTTACGCATGAAAACAGCCTCCATCTCCTCCATACACACAAAAACAGTCACTAAAATAGCGATATAAGCGTACAGAAAAAGAAAAAGTAAGGAAAAAGTGCCAAAAACAGTACACAAAGACAGAGCTACTGGAAAGGCTGCCACTCACAGTGGAAGTGAGAGGATTTACACACGTTTGCTACCACAAGGCTAATACAGCAAACGAGTAAATGAAGCTTATGTACACCAATTAGCACCATGGAAACTGCATGCCTAAATCATCACAATTGGCATGTTATTGTGATGATTTAATCTATTCAAGCCCACCAGTCATAACTGTGTAAGAAATTTTATTTTGTGTTCATAAAGCTCTAAATGGGTTGCTAATGTGTTGTCTTGTGGGTGATATAATTGATCATATGACCAAAGCCATTTTCCTCAAGCATGTGGTTTGTCATATGTGGTCCCTACACTCAGATCCATAAATATTTGGACATTGACACAGTTATTGGTATTTTAGCCATCTAACACAGCATAATGGAGTTGGAGTTAAATATTAATTTAATTTGAGGGTATTTACATCAAAATTCAGTGAATGGTGTAGGAATTACCATTTTCATACATAACCTTACATTTTGCACAGGTACTCTTGGGTCTGTAGTTTATTCTGTATTTATTGTATATTTATTGTTTTTGTATGTGTGTATTTATATTATCTGTTATCCCTTTTATACATGTGCACTCATGTCCTTGTCTTAATGTTTATGCAAAAGAGAAGTAGCCCGAAAGTGTTTTGTTATTATGTACCCGTGTATATGTATAATGGGAATAGTTTAATTAAATTTTAGGGGCTCAAAAGTAATTGGACCAACTACCATTAAATTAAATGAAATTAAATTTTCATTTTCAATATTTGCAAATCCTTTGCAGTCAGTGACTGCCTGAAGTCTGGAACCCATAGACATCACCAGATGCTGGGTTTCATTGCCAGTTCTTTAATGCAGCTGCTTTCAGTTCCTTCTTGCTCTTGGGGCTTTTAACCTTCAGTTTTGCCTTCAGTAAGTGAAGTACATGGTTGATTGGATTGAGGTCAGGTGCTTGATCTGGACTGTGCAGAACATTCTACTTCTTTGCCTTAAAAAGTCTGCTTCTGCAATATGTCTCGGGTCATGGTCCTTCTGTGCTACGAAGCACTGTCCATTGAGCTTTGAAGCATTTGAGTAGATACTATAGGCCTATACATTTTAGAATTCCTCATGGCGCTTTTTGTCAACAGTCACATCAATATATACAAGGTAACCAGTTCCAATGGCAGCCATACATGTGCACACTGTAAAACTACCTCCACCATGTTTTACAGATGAAGTGATTATGCTTTAGATGACAAGCAGCTCCTTCTCTTCATGATACACTTCTCTTCCCATCATTCTGGTACAAGCTGATCTCTATGTCCATAAGATGTTGTTGGAGAACTGAACAAGCTTTTTCAGATTTTTTCAGTATTTTGGCAAACTCTGATTTTGAGGCGTACCAGTGGTTTACGTCTTGTGGTAAACCCTCTGCGTTTACTCTGCTGAAGTCTGACTTTGACACAAATACACTGACGTCTTGGAGGGTGTTCTTGATCTGACCAACTGTTGTGAATGGAACCAGGAATAGGACTCTTCTGTTGCCCACCACAGTTGTTTTCCGTGGTCCTCCGGGCCTTTTGGTGGTGCACTGAGGTGATTTTACTCTCTCTCTCTCTGATGGGTGTGTTTTGATTTTTAAGCCTAATGATGGCTTGCAATAATGAGGGAATAACACACACCTGGCCATGCAACAGCTGAGCAGCTTATCGGTCAATTACTTTTGAGCTCTTAAAAATGTGTGGCTATGTATAAAAATGGTTGTAATTCCTTCACCATTCACCTGATTTGGTTGTAAATACCTTCAAATACTTTGAGCTCATATTCATTATTTAATTTCAGCTACAATATGCTGTGGTAGACGGTTGAAATGACAGAAACTTTATTGACTGTAAATATTTACAGACCTGACTGTATAAGCATTCATACATGCTACACTACGAATATACCATCGTTAAATCAACACTGTGCATGTTAAATTTAACACTTACTCAGTGCAAACATCCACACCAATTCAGATTAAATTTAGATTTTATGTAGTGTTGGCATCTTGTAAAACAACATATAACTGTCAGTATTGTTGTTGCACCACTCAGCTGCTGCACATTAACCCAAAAACCTATACACGGTTCACAGCACTGGAGTTAATTTCATGCTGCACTGAAGTTATTTGTTCACTTAATTTGTGTGAATTTCACTAAATAGTTATTGGTTCTATATAATAGAGTTAATTACACCAATTTCTATCACTTATCATTGTAACAATCTGTCCGTTCTTAAATGGAGAACCACTCTGTTAGGAGAACGTGGTGTAGTCATGTACATTTATCTCAGTCTTCATGAAGTCAGTGAACAAGCAGAGTGCTAGTTACAGTCATATGCATGTGCCCCTGGTTAAATGACATGGTTTTTGATATTCTAAATGAAAATAAGTTGTCACATCCTCCACAGAGAGCTTCTGCACACTTTAATGCAAAATTACTGTTTATTTTGCCGAATTTCACATTTTGGGGGGGACATAAAATGGAGATTTATGATGTATTTAATATTTTATATTTTTACAATATGTTAAACTCAGTAAATAAATAGAAATTGTGCACTAAAATTGGCAAAAAAATGGCACATTTAAGTTTGTTCTCTGTACAGTATGTCACCTTATTTTCACTTAGAAAATCAACTAAACGTGTAATCTGACAGGGGGCGTTCAAACAAATGAACAATAAACATCATCATGGTTGAGATAAAAAAAAAAAACCCTGTAACCTATATTTAATGCAATCTTTAAGGTAAGAATAACATGTTACCATGAAAAGACTTGAACTGTAGGTGGAAAAATAAAATCTAATTGACAGAAATGAACCAAGCCGCCCACAGCGACTGACATCAGTGATGAGTGGAAGCTTAAACAACACGCAGGCTGTCAAAACAACTCCAGCAACTCATCACTAACATTTTAACCCTGAAAAATCCACACTTTTAACTGTGGACAATTTGCTGTGTAGAGCACGATGACCCAATTAAGACTACATCCAGCATTGCATCATTATTATATCAGTATTCTGTATAATCATTTTTTTTTAACATGGTTCTCTGATTATTATTTCAATTATTTTTATTTTTTTGTCTCTTGTGTATTCGGGTCTAACTGATTACCAGTATTCACAATTGTGACAAGGTCTGAAAGATTAATCACTTTTATTTTGAAATCACAATCAGAGAGAGTGCGATTTTCAAATCGCAAGAGCTGCAATTTTCATTATAGTCTATATAAAGCGTTCTCAATGCTGATTCTGGAGTACCACTGACCTGCATGTTGTGGTGTGTTCCTGCTCTAACACACCTAGTTCACCTCAGGAAGGGCTTGTTAATTAATTCAGCTGCAGCAGGTGTGTTGGGAGCAGGAGAAACTCAAAGGCTGTGTTCAGACTGCCAGCCCAAATTCGATATTTGGCCTATCCAGATTGATTTTTGATCCTCTGCACAGCTAAAAACCACATGAAATACAAATTGAAATGCAAACCGGATCCAAACCACATTTGGAAGTGGTATGAAATGTGATTCTAGCCAGATTTTTACAGATGCATCTCAGTCTGGCCGCTCTGGCCACTCAGATCGGTGTCTTTTGCATCAAAGTATCTTTTGTGTCACTCGCAATGCAGCAAACAATGACAATGACAAATCCAGAGGGACGGAAGTGCTGAGACTCAAGAAGGTCACAAAGGATTCATGCTAATACCAGAGAATTAGAGTTTGGAGGGCGAGATGATGCACCTCCATCTCTCCTGCATCCGAGTTTGAAATCCACGTCACCAGCATAGTTACTGATGCATATGTCGTTACCACGGCAACCCATGCAGATAGGCTAGTGATGTCTTGACACACAAATCCAATCTGATTACTTGCAAATAACAGTGTGGACAGTCATCTCAAAAGATCTGATTTGAGAAACAAATCTGATTTGTCTGCAATCTGAACACAGCCAAAAATGTGCAGGGCTATGGTACTTCAGAACCAGCACTGTGAACCACTGGTCTATTTTGTCAACTTGTCAACACTGTTGGGGAAATTTAATGTAATAACAGTGAGCTTGTGAACTGCCTGTGGATGATTCAGACCTACCAGAAACAACCAAACACCAAATGCTTCATATATCACACCCACAACTAACTGGCAGTCTGGCGCCCTACATTCTGCGTTTTAACTTGAATCCAGAAAAAGTAGATATGCTAAACTTCCAAAATAACAGGCCTTTGATCTTTAATTCAAAAAAGGTCAAAGGCCTTTTGTTTCATTTATAGAAAATATAAATCTTCTATGAATAAAATATATATTTTTTAATTTATAGAGAATAATACAATACTCACAATCAAAATATCACAGTCATGATTTGTTCAGAAACAGATTTTTCCCCAAATCGTTTAGCCCTAATTGTGACTAAGAATTATACTTACATTTTCACTACTTTGTCCAAGGCATATAGTCTGTATTATGGCTACCCAAAGAGTAAAATAATACTAAAATAGCTGATAAAACTTTGCTTAATCTCTCTCAGCTCCCACAGTTCTATACACCTTTTTACCCTCTAAGGTTAATCAGTGCTGTTCTAGTTTAGTTAGACCACATTGACGTCAATGGGAGCAGATCATTTAGTCTCCAGACTTTGGAGCACTTTCCCCCCTGGGGCCTTCAGGACTCTTCTTACTTTTCCCACTTTAAGACCTTAAAAGATACTTTTTCTCCCAAAACTTTCACCTCTCATGCTTCTAGTCCTCTTTCTTTCTTTCAAACTGTACTTGTAAAGTGACCTTAAGAGTGAGAAAGGCACAATGTAAATGAAAGGTCAACATAGTTTGAGGCAAGTGTATGATGACTTAAGCATTTTGCACCTAATTTGTTGAGGCATAAGTTACTTATCAAACTTTTTTTTTTTTTATTGCTTTTTAAACGTCTTACAACACAAAATCAAAGGAAAAACATATACAGACCAAAGTACTAGAACAACAATTACAACATCAGACTGTATAAGCATGAGTCAATACGCAAATAAAATAACATGACTAGATAAGTGATTAACATAAATAAATAAATAAATAAATTAATTAAAAAAAGCCCCTAAAGGTTGGGGGGAGCGGTTGGGAGACTGGCGTTATAGTGCCTTCAAGAGGGGGAATTACCCAAGTCCTCTGCAAGAAGCTGCGGAAGGGACCTGAAAAAGGTGATGAAAGGTGACCAGCATCTATAAAAGCTATCCACAGAACCCCTCAAACTAAACTTGATCTTCTCGAGGTGCAAAAAGAAAACAACATCTCTCAACCAAAGGGAATGAGAGGGAGGAGAGCGAGACTTCCAGCCGATAAGAATTCTACACCTTGCTAGTAACAGAGCAAAGGCAATAGAGTCTAATTCTTGGGAATTCAACTGGGTAGTGCCGATGTAAATATTAAAAATAGCTAGTAAAGGGCAGAGACTCAGATGTTTATTAAAGACAGTAGAAAGAGTATACAAAGTCCCAAAATCTCCGGCAAGACCAAAACATATGAAAGATGGTCGCTTGATCTTCGTCACAGTGAGGGCAGGCTGGCTTAACCTCGGCATAGATTTGTGCTAGTTTAGCATTGCACAGATGAGCTTTATGGACAACCTTCAGCTGCATTATGTTTAGTCTTGCACAAGAGGATGAAGAGTTAACTGTAGCTAAAGCTTCAGTCCACCATCTCTCCCCCAACCTAAGACCCAGCTCCGCCTCCCATTCAACCCTGGCCTCTTTGCCTTATTAAAAGACAAAATGGAAATAAGCCGTCCCTCAGTTTGCACAGTAAAAAAGTCCTCCCAAGGACGAGTTGGGGGGCAGAAGAAGCAAACTTTAGACATGTTTCAGACATGTTTGGCTGGTTGGACTACATTTGTGGTAAAGAGGAAAACTGGGTTAATGTTATTTTTTCTCTAAACTGTACTTTAAGCATGTTTTAAGTAGAAGTGAAGACTGGAAGGCAAAAACTTTCACTTGGCTTTACGAAGTGTTTGGTCCCCGTTTCCTCACTCGTACAGTGCTGTGCTTGTTATGACATGCATCCATTTTCATTGCGATGATTTATGATATGTGTGATGAGTGTTCTCCTCGCTGTGTCGTTTGCGTTGTAACTCAAAGTGAGGTCACGTCACAACAAGTGTGTCAGCGGAGTTTTTGTGGTCAAGCGGTGCTGAAGCATCACCTGACACATATGATGCCACGCTACCATGAAAGACATCACATTGACCGTCTTTCTGAAGCTTCAGAAATAGCATTAGCAATGATCAGGTTTTAAGTTTACAGCATACGGCCTAAAGGGATCGTAAGTTTCTCCAAATAGATTCTCCTAAATCTTACACACTGCACCTTTAAATGTTAAACACAGACATCTCCCAGTAGAAAGTACCCTTTAAATAATGATTTTTCATGTATTTAGCTTGTTACTATCTCTATTAATGCACTGTGTTTAAATAGATCATAAAATAATCGCTGTAAATGTCTAAGGTCTGGGTACTTATTTTATTTATTTATTTATTTGCTCTTGGACCACAGTTTGAACTAATTCAGTAGAGTTGTCCACACATATTACACATTTTGTAAAACTTAGATGGCAGATTGGCTGAGCATTCACCATGGGGGATGTCTTGCCTTAGGAGTGGGACAGTATTTCCCTTTTAAACACTTTATTTTTTGCAATAAAAACAAAACTATGTACTCTTTCAGTTTATTTCCGCTGTGTTATAGATTTGTACATCATCATACTGTACGTGCTGAATTTGTACAGATGGCTTTACGGTATGTGAACATTGGGCCTTATTTTCCAATATCTTCTTTTCTTAAATGAGTTCCTGAGAAAAGTCTACATCAGATTCATGACGTGTTCTTAAAGCGCAGAACTGTTCTCACCTTTGTGCTCTTGAGTGTGTAGCTTCTGTTCTTACCTAAGAACAAATACCAAATAAGAAAACACTGGTGAATCAGAATCTTCATGAAAACTACGCAAGTGGGTTTTAAGAAGAAATTATTTCTTAAGAATGGTTGGTGAAGGAGGCCCAATGTCCTTAACGGGAAATTCCTCTCCTGTTTTTTCAGTATTTAGTTCAATAAGGTAAAGAAAACAAACTTTTATACTGTGAAAAAATGACCAAGAACATTGCAACCTTCAGTCATTTACCCTACACAGTCTAGTTAATAAGTGTGTCCCCTGCTGTGGTCAGCTTTCAGCTGGTATAGTTATAAGTAAGCACTGAAATGCAAGTGGTTTTGTGTTTAACATTGTGTAATATAAAACTTTTTTTTTTTCATTGGGCAATGGTAATTGACTGGTCATTTTCTAATGATTTAGCTAACTTACAGTGACATAGGCTGGTGGTAGTTGTAATGTCCCCCCACTTAAATCCCCCCAAAAACACACCAAGACCCCCTAATTAAAATGAAAAAAGTCTGGCTGCTCCGCTGGTATACAGTAGAGCATAAGCAGATCTTTTCCTGCTTGCAGTAACCTCACTATTGCTCTAATTGCATGTTTGCAGATACAGCAGCACAATGTATCCTCCTGATTTGTCTTTTCTCAACTAGTTCACTTTCCTCCTAAACTCGGGGTGTGCAAATAGCAGCCTCGTTTCATAAGGGAGTCTCTCTCTCGTCTTATTCGGGTTCTTCATAATAGGAGATTATTTTTGAAATGCAATTATACCACAGCATTAATTGAACTCACACTTGGTACACAGGCATCGGGGGGTGTCTGCCAGGCAACCGGATAATAAGGCTGTGGAACGAGGTCAGAGGATTTATTTGTGTTGAGCGGAGAGAGCGTGCCTTCGGTGTGATAGAATTGTCACATTCTCAGAGGGTTGGGGGGTGTGAGGGTCTCTTTTCAGCAGTCCGTTTCATACTGTATGCTACTGTGAAAGGAAGAGTCTTTGTTGGTTTTTCATTCCGATCCCACCCTGCTGCGCGTTATCCACACAGAGTAGAGAATGGCAAAGCATTGTGGGGGAAGAAAGAAACCACCTGGGTGAAGTCCTTGTTGCTCATAAAGGGGCTTTTATGTAGATGATGCATTTTTCACAGCGAGAGCAAGACCCTGAATTGCCTGAATTGCTAGTTATTAATAGTTTTCAGGATTTCATTGAATTGAATCATGTGAAGAGCTGAAGAGGCTTATTTTTGGGAGTGGATTTGTGAAAATGAATTCCCATATTTCATTGCAGGGTCAAAATTAATTTGCAGTCTCTAATGTACAAGCCTGATATTAATCTGTAGATGTCATAGCAAAAGCATGGTGTAATTTGTTATTATTTCTCACTTGTAGCTCGGATAAATTCTACCAGAAGTTTGGAATTTTAACTTTTGGTCTGTACAGTGTTTGAGTTTGTAAGTAGAAGAGAATACATTATATAAAAGCTATACTATGTAAGAATTTTGTTGTCAAAATTGAAAGAAATAGCATTACTGAATCAGCAGAAGAAAACATGCTAAAATATGGTGTTGGTATAGTCGCCCTGCAAAGCCTGAAATCATTTAAAGCCAGAGTTGTCAGGTCTGGAGTTTTTGAACCATGTCTTAAACGTTGCACGTACAGGCTCTAAAAGAAGGTCCGGCTCAATGTTTAGGTCTCAAATGCAAAATCAACATTATATTGATGAAGATATGATGAAAATAGTAGATAATTCACTCACATCCTCTGAAGACACGTCCTTCACCAAGTTTAGACTGAGTTTACTTTGAATTCTCTTTCAACGCCCTCACAATCATCAGATACACTCACTCAGGGAAGAAATGTTGGTGATGAAAACTGGAAATTGTGTTCCCCCTGGGGACATGGGGACAATAGACTTTTGACAGGCCTAACAATTACACTTACACGTAGAGCAAAATGAAAGTACTAAGTCTCAACTAACCCTGTGTGTGTATTTTCCCACTTCAGTTTATCCAGTTGAAATCTATTGTCAATTTCCATGTAGTGCCTTTGTTACTTTCACACTAACCTATAGTTGTATCTCCTTAGCCAAACCTCACTGGCTGCAGACTATGACGGACACGGCCTTGTCCATTGAGGAGAACTTGTTCTGGGAGTGCAAAGCCAGTGGGAAGCCCAAGCCCTCCTACAGCTGGCTGAAGAACGGAGAACCACTCATGTCAGAGGTAGAGTGGAACAAAACTGAGAAGCTCTTTTTCTTTTCTGACAGAAGTTCGAGGTCAGTGGGAGCAGCTGGCTGGAGAATGGCGAAGTTCTTACAGCTCAAGTAAAAAGGATCAATAATGATTATGAGAAAGCAATGAATCAAAATGAATTGTACTGACAGTAAGAGAGCCAGAAATACAATAGGAAATAGCCATTAGAAGAAAAGACAGCCAGCTGGCCTCATACCCAGCCCAGCACAATGGTCATTCGTGCATTCCTGCTCCATTTATGTCTGTTTGCAGTACCTTCTCTATAGCTCTTATTCACTAAGACCTCAGGATGTACACTTCATTTTAAATGTGTTTTCCTATTTCTGTCATTTTAGTGAAAACACTACTGCTTTATTTTTACTTTCCCCTCATTTCAGAATAACCGTGATGAAATAACACATACAGAATTAATAACCTTCTTGCACAATAGAGGAAAAAAGCAATTTTCTGCCTATTTTGGAGGTCCCTCAGTTAAACTGTGCACTTTTTTCCTTTCAGTAACACTGTTAGAATATATTTCCGTAGAAATGTGTATGACTTACAAAACTGGAAGTGAACTTTAGTGAGCGAGTCAAAGTTTTTAAAAGCGTTGGGTTGTTTGATATGAAGAAAGCCAGAAGTCTTTGTGGAGAGGTGTGAATTGTTTTCACTGCAGAGTTTTTTTTTACCCCTCCTCTTTCACTCCTCATTGGTCACTAGCAACCCAACATAGAGACAACAGAGTTACAAGGAATTTATACTTTATTTGATTATATTAATTGAAAATATTGAAATCCTGCCAATATTGATCACAATACTGACCTTTTACTATATCTCATGTCTACTACTAAGGCTTATTTAGACCTTTTCCATTTTGTTGCAAAACAACCGATTAACAAGGATGCATTAACAATGAATTAACAAGGACAGACATTAAATGATTCACCTTTTAAGGAAGTGATGATTATAGTATTTTCAAGCTATACAGTTCAACTTTAACCCAGATTTTGTGAATTAGAAAATGCATCAAGCATCAATTTCACTATTTTATATTTGCCTTAAAAACGAAATTCAACCATTCACACTTAAGCATTCAGTTCAAAATATCTTTGAAATTATGAACATTCAACCAGGCGTGTCCAAACATTTGGCCAATACTGTGCATATATTTTTGCCTCACAATTTTATGAGCAGTCTCTGTAATTCCACTGTTTACAGCAAAGTATAACTTGCGAATGGAGTGAGTAATATTCATCGTTGTTATGATAAATTCACAGTATGCTTTTCTGATCATATTGTGGGTATCATCGATGTTTAAGGAGCACTGAGTAACTGCATCTTAGTCCTGTTTAACTGGATTTTGTACAGCACAGTGTGAACATTTAATTAAAATATTTTTTGTGGTAATTTTAAAATATGGTTGTACTGCAGCTTTTTTCTTGGTCCAGCATATCAAACTTCAGAAGAACTAAATATTGTGTAAAAAGTCTTCAGTATGGAGCCCTGCTGGTGACATCCGGTATAAAGAAAAATAATGCGTGGCCACATCGTATTAACGTGTTGGAACAAGAGCCTAATGCATGGCTAACACTATCAGTAAGGTGTGGGAACGAGATAATTAAGTTGTGGCCATGATTTAGCAAGGCATGGGAATGAGATCATGCCTTATAAAGCTGTGGTCAAGGCTTAATTATTTAATTCCTATGCCTTACAAAGTCATGGCCACACATTAGGATCTCGTTTCCACGCCTTACTGCCTTACTAAGTGGTGGCCCCACTTAATTATCTCATTCCCACACCTTACTACATGATGGCCACGCATTATTTTTATTTATACAGGATGTCATCAGCAGGGCTCCATACTTCTCCTTACTTTCATTTTTATTTTTGCCATGTTGCCCACCTATCACCAAAAAAAAAAAATATATATATATATGTACTGTTATTTTTTACACTCAGCAATAGTGGAACCCTTTTTGGTGCAATCTAGAACCATTTTTAAAAGGGTTCTTAAAAAAAAAAATATGCAACTGGTTTCCCAACATAAAGAAGAACCAAAGCTATCTATGCATTCAAATGGTTCTTTGGGTGTTCATGGTTCTATGTAGAACCATTGCCTTTACCAAAGAACCCTTGATTAACTGTGTACACACTACATGTTCCCTCAGCCATCAGCCTCAACCTCTTTATTCAGCCTTACTGCAGCTGCAGTGAGTGGGCTGGCAGTGTTTGACTCTAAAATGTGGCTATTAAGCAGTGACTGGTGTTGCTGTATCTCATCAAAATCCACAGGAAATAAATGAAAGCTGACTCCTGGTTATCTCTGATTGGGTCTCATTGTTAGGTCTTATGAAAGACAGTTGCAGCAAAGTGACCGTGCTGTCCTAAAAAATAATCCAAACTTTCTCAGACTAGTCAATAGGCTGATTCTGCTAGGCTTGCTGAGCCATAACGAGGCAACAGAGCGATAGTGGCATTAGCTGTAGCCTGTTTTTAGACCAATCAGAACCGTATGACCTCTCGCTCTCTCTCTTTTTCTCTCATACACATCAGTGCGCCCAACGCATTGTGCTGAGCTTTGGCTTTAAGAACAGCTGATGGGCTTAAAGCTCAGCCGCGCCATTAGCCGAGCCTTCAGCTCAACACTTCTCGACCTGTCTCTCTCGTTTTTCCGACCGGTCGCTCGCGGCGAATGAGTTGTGTATTAGTGCGCCGCCGCTATTGTCAACACTGCTTTTCTGTCCGCCGAAGCTGAAGGGTCAGCGTTTTTTGTCCTGCAGCACCTTCCATCCACCCCTTAAATCCAGCACTGCCCCTCCAACATCCTTCCCTCAGGCAGATCCATACAACATTATCATGGAACAGTAATTGAAAAGCATCTCTCTAAGTCTCTCTATTGCTATTGTCACATAGTGGCCCGTGCAAGTAATTGCATCTGTGAGCAGTAAAGTAGTAAGTAATAGCCTGGTCTGGGAGATGCATATGGAGTATACATGTATTAAAACCCGTTAAAAGACCATCGATGGGTCCAAACTTTTATTACACAAAGATTTTTCAGAATTTCTGCATAAATCAGTGTTTGAGATGTAAACAAAGTCATTCAGAGTTGTTTGAAATGGGTAATTCTGATTTCTTTACAGTGGTGGTGATAGGAACCAGGGGTCGCCATGACTACAACACAAATATGGCTATTTTAATTATTATCCAAAACCACCAGTGAACTTTTTTTTTTTTAATATTCTTTGGGGACTATTTTGCCTTACAACACCTTTCATGCACCCCCTGTCATAAACGTTTTTAAAAAATATGCTTAGTCTGATCTCATAACTATCATAAAACAATGTCTCAGGCATTCAAGTAATAGCTTTCTGTAAGGGAGCTTTTAGGGACATTATACTCAGACGTCTGATTCCCACCACCATTGTGGATAATTCTGAATTGGTAAGAACGGCGCATTTCACACAGATCCATTCTGAATTGACCTTGTTTACACCTTGACTATGTAATTATGCAGCCATTTTAAAAAATAAGAATTCCCATTGAAGAACAACTCAGTTTGCATCGTAGTCCACGTACTGAATAATAAGCTTTGGGATGTACTGAGGCGAGGACTTTAAGGGGACAGAAGTGGGAAATATGGCAAAAATATCTCATCATGATTCTTTTCACACAATAATGATATGAATCATGATATTTAGTTTTTCTGAGATTTGCAAATATGTTGGCACCAGCAAGTACAATTGTACCCATAAAAAGGGTTATTTTATATTTTCTAAAATGCTTCAATACATTTTAAAGTTGAGCATTTGCAAAAACAAACTCAGGGATGAACACAAAGGGAAAAAAGTAATGGCAGAATGGCTGTCATCTAGTCAGCTGCTTATTTATTCAGTTAGTAGGGAAGAGTGGGGCCAAGACATTTTGGTTTTTGTTGAATACTTTTAAAAATATTTAAGTTGGAATAATCATATTTGTATTTAAGCAACATCTACATCTCTGCCACAAACAAACACTTAAACTTTCTTTCCATCGCTATCGTTCATGTACAATTCTAGCCATAATGAGGGGAAGTGAGTTGTTACAGTTTAGCCCATGGGTGGGTTCACTGTAACAGATAGAGGGTCAGTTTAACACCTGCTAGAAAAGTCTGATCAATCAGTGCAAACAAAGTTAATTCAATATGATTCTATGTTGTAAGAAACACATACATTTTTCAACCGTACTGCTTTATATATTATCATCTATAAGAAAGACAGACAGCTCAACTAATACATACACACACATCAAAATATATATGAACACTGACATGAGTCTGTGTGTCAAACAATGACAGGCTTATATTTTGTCCATTGAAGGACAGCAAATAAAAACATCACACATCAGTAAAATATGGAACATTATTTCTGAATAACTACAGCTTTACCAACTAATAACGTGACTTTCATTAATATACTTATTTAAAACCAAAATACTGACATCTGAAAGATACTAATAAAGCAGAAGAAAATCCTTGTTTTAAGATTTTTCTCTTTTTCATTTTAAAATCTGTGTAAACTCGAACAAAAAAGACAGATTACTTTTTATTTGTCTTTGTTTACTAAAGGAGGCTTAGTTGTAAAGCTGTGTAAGAACTAACCCCACAGTCCGGAGGCTGTACTTAAGCCTAACTAGCACTTGCTGTGAGCTTGTCAGCTGCTTCAAAACTTGGCTGCGTTGTAGAAAACAAGATGCTGATTGCAGTGATATAAGGTTGGGTTTTGTAATTTACACAAACAGCTCAGTAACCAAAAACTGTGTTGACAAAATTACTTACATGCCCTGAAAACGCTCTTTGGCACAGATCTCTTTAAAACGCTGACGAATCACTCTGAATTTAGGTGGGAGATAGTGGCTAGGAAAAGCTGTAATGTGACCAGAAGCTCACTCTGCTTAACCTTTTTTAACAACATAAAAGGTCTATGTCAATTGGTGCCCTGTATTAGGTTCCCAGTGCTCCCCTATACACTGGTTGTTGTTTACAGCCTGTTTATTTTTGATCTAAATCTGTACATGCAGTTGTTCTGTACATACTGACGATTCCCACAATCTCTGAGAAAAGCATATTGTGATGTAGTTTACAATGATAGCGATAACCTATCGTCAAACTGCCCGCACTCAGTCGTACGTGTATGTGTTCTACACAGAGTCGAGTGCTGATAGAGAACGGCGCCCTCACCATCTCCTCGCTGACCCTATCTGATGGAGGGATGTATCAGTGTGTGGCTGAGAACAAGCACGGTATCGTTTATGCCAGCGCTGAACTGATGGTTCTGGGTAAGAAATGCTCTGTTTCTTTCTGTCCCCTCGCTGCCATCTGTTAGCCTGATAAGAAAGCATCCTGAATCTCACAAGCTTTCCCATTTCTTCTCCTTGGATACAAACGGTAGTGAGTGAATAGTAAATCACTGTTGTCAGAAGAAAATCCCATATATCCATTTTTGACGTTTTTCAGCTTTTGACATAATTTGAAAATACCTGTTGTCCTTTATATTGTGAATAAATTTCATGATGAATGGATTAAAAGAAACGGCCCAAAATGACTTGACTTACATTAAAAGTAAAGTAGGTTTTTTCCTTCTCCTGTAAAGTTACCATTTTGGAGATACGAGGTTTTCTTCTGACAACAAACAAATGCTTGTGCATAAGGGTGATATTAAAATGAACAAAAGTATGGACAGAATTTTGCAAATACCACTTTTTTCCAAATGGCTGCTACTACTTTCTTAGCTATGTGACACAGAGTTGACCAGGATGATAGAAAACAGTGCACTTTCATGCAAAGAAAAAAAAAATGGGCCAAGCCCAAAATGAGAAAACATAAGCTTTCAATAGTCTTTACAACAAATTATTAGTCAGTAAATTAGCAAGAATAAAACCAATAGATGCAGTAAGTTGGCATGAGAGAGCTTTTCCCTTCGATTTCTTTAAATGTTGAAATCTTATGTGTAAACTTGCAGACAGCCTTTCACAGAAAGATGAGTCGATATTGCTCCACTCAGCATTGACGGCTTCCAACAGCTAGTTTGTGTTTAACGTGAGAAAAAATATTTTCTATAAGGTTTAAATCTGGACTCTGCCCAGTCCAAAAACATCAGTAAAAATATTAAAAAACATTAGTATGTTGGCCTTGGCACTCTTTTTTTTCCACATGAGTCTGTCATACAGTGTCACGGGCAAGTCTAATTGAGATTACTTAACAACTTGTCACAGCTTCAGGCAAGTGTGATGATTTAGGCATTAAGAATTATGCTAATTATTGGGGTAAAAGCTTTCATTACTGGCGAGCCACATTAGCCTTGTAGCTCTAAGGCAAAACTAAAGAAGCAAACCTCAGACACTGAACCATAGCTGTCAACTGTCATATTTTTTGCCTTTGCCATAGTGTCACATTCGTGAATGCAAAACTTTGGATTTTCATACTTCAACGCGTGAGTGTAATTTTTTGCCAAACTACTGCTTTAATGAGGCAGATTGGTAAATCACACTCTTGTTTAATTATGCTCTTTTCAAAAAGAGCAAAAACACCCTCTGTTTTGATTTAGTTAAGCCTTTCAGTTCTGCTATAATGGATCATTTCCAAGGGAGGGGCCATGAAGGGCACTGGCCCCAGAAGAAATCTAATTGACCCTTTAAGTTCCTCCCTTCAGTCACCACCTCCAAGCATGATTGCTACACAAACTCATCGCCGTTCAGTAAAATTCTCAGTGTTTGAGGGGTGACACTCACGTGAATCCTGGACAGTATTAACTAACAGGAGATACTGCAAATGATGGTACTGATAAATGGAACATTTGTGCAACAGATGTTTGTTGAGCTGTTGGTTTCATTTCACATATGAGGTCTTTCTTCAGTAGCTTTACAACAGTGGGTGCAAAAAGGCTACAATGTCATTTTTTATCATTGGGCCTCATTCAGAATGTCTTCTTAAATGTGTTTTTGAGAAAGGTCCTAAGAAAAAAGGGTTATTTTATATTTTCTAAAATGTTTCAAAAAAAATTAAATTGAGCATTTGCAAAAACAAACTCAGGAGTGAACATAAAGGGAAAAAAGTAATGGTATAATTGCTGTCATCTAGTCAGCTGCTTTTTTATTCAGTTAGTAGGGAAGAGTGGAGCCAACACATTTTGGTTTTTGTTGAATACTTTTAAAAATTTTAAGTTGGAATAATCATATTTTTATACAAGCAAAATCTACATCTTTGCCACAAAAAACACTTAAACTTTGTTTCTAGCACCTACTGTTCATGTTCAATTCTAGCCAAAATGAGGAGAAGTGCAGTGTTACAGTTTAGCCCATGGGTGGGTTCACTGTAACAGATAGAGGGTCAGTTTAACACCTGCTAGAAAAAGTCTGATCAATCAGTGCAAACAAAGTTAATTCAATATAATTCTATGTTGTAAGAAATACATACATTTTTCAACCATACTGCTTTATATATTATCATGTATAAGACAGACAGACAGATCAACTGACAGATACACACACATCAAATTACATATGAGACTGAGTGTCAAACAATGACAGCTTTATATTTTGTCCAGTGAAGGACAGCAAATAAAAAACATCACAGATCAGTAAAAAACATTTCTTCTGAATAACTACAGCTTTACCAACTGATAATGTTACTTTCATTAATATACTTATTTAAAACCAAAATACTGACATCTGAAAGATACTAATAAAGTAAAATAAGTTTTTTCTTAAGTGTGTTCTTGAGAAATGTCTGCAGCAGTGTGTAGATTTTGTTCTTACCTAAGACCAAATCCCAAATAAGAAAACCCCAAAAAATTTTAGAATCTTCATGAAAACTGCATTTTAAAAAGAAATTTCTTCTTAAGCATAGTTGGTGAATAAGGCCCAACGTTTGCAACCGACTTTTGAGTACCACATTATCTTTGACTGAAATTGATGTAAAACACACTGATTTCTATGGACTGTTGTAGCCACAATGAGAAGTACGCGATCGTCTGCAAATTACGTCCCAAGTGGTGATCCCAGGGGTCCAAGCACCCCACACCTTGTGGAGCCAGTATAGGCCTTTCAGCAGATATAACATAGACAGTAGGTAGAGATTTTAGAATGACCCCTATTTAACTGTTGTGGAAGGATCTCAAAGGAGATGTCTGCCAAAGCACTAACGTTTTGACCTTGGTATGGTAAGCAATAGCTTATTTTAAACAAATAATTCAAAATACCTGGAAAGCAGTTTGACATTTCACATGACTTGTGTTGGCATAGTTGTTGAACTACAGTAGGGTGCCCAATCCTAAAACTTTCTTTAGAAGACCAAGCCTGTGGAACTTGTGTAAGGAGTTGGTTTCTGAACTTTGTTTCTTAAACTTTGTCACCTAAAAAAAAACCCAGAATCACCACTGGATGTAGTGTTCAATATTTAGAGTATTGAGTTCAACAAGAATGTATTAAATGATACATCATGTACTGCAATACTTGTCAGATTTGTCAGTGTCCACTAGTCCCGCCTGCGGTGCAGTCTGTCGGTCAGTTGCATCACGCAGTGCCGTGGACTCGCGGCATTTTGCTTCAACAGAGCTGAGAAATCCGTGGCTCAATCTCTGCTACTGACAGCGTGAATGACTGTGAGATTTACTAAACTCTGGCAGAGTCTGACGCTCGGAGATGTAAGTGCGAATGAACGGTACACACGTATGAGACAAATGACTTGAGAAATTGGAATGTGAAACAACATTCAGCAACGTTTTTGCCGAGCCAGAGAAACTGCTGAGTGATGTTCACAGCACAGGCTGATCTATTTATTGTTCGCTTCTGTTTTTAACTGGTTTTCAAATTGAAAATATTTTGCATTTACTTCTGTAGTAAAATATTGTTTTAATGACTAATTGTGATAAAATATATTATAATATATTATAATAAATTATAATAAAGTAAATGGTAAATACATATAGTAAATAAATAAATATATATAAATACATATATACATGCATACAATTTTCTATCCCCTGTAAACCCTGCTTCTCATTTATCTTCCTCAGACTCACAAATTGCATATGATGTCAAATCACGTTCACATCACATTAACACAGATGCGTAGCTCCCTTGTAGTAGTTCCATACAAAATATATAAAAAATATATTTTAAAATAATATATACACATATGATATATATACACATATGATATACACCAGTATTGCACCATTCCCAATGTGCAGTTTTGTAACAGTAATATAGTTATAGTTAATAGTATATGATATGTATATATGATATACACACACACACACACACACACATCATCTAAACCGCTTATCCTTCTGGGTCGCGGTGGGGTGCTGGAGCCTATCCCAGCTGTCATCGGGCGGAAGGCAGGATACACCCTGGACGGGTCGCCAATCTATCGCAGGGCTATATGATATACACATTTCTATATATGCAATTTGTGATATATATATATATATATATATATATATATATATATATATATATATATATATATATAGATAGATAGATAGATAGATAGATAGATAAATAGATAGATATAGTGCCAAATACAGTAGTATTAACATATAACGTGCAGGAAAGTAACTGTGGTAAGTGATGCTGTGGTTACATTGTGTACAAATACTAAAAAAATTACAGTACATATACATATTCCAAAAGCAAATGCCATTCAGCTTCATATGTTTCATTGATGACAAGGCATTTATGAAAATACAATTATTAAAAAGTGGAAATATATAAATATCAGGACTGCTTATGGGTAAATTAGAGTTAGTATCATTATCGGTGCTCGGTATCAGCCAATACCTAAGGGTCAAGTATCTGTATTGGTATCAGAAGGGAAAAAGTGGTATCAGTGCATCCTTAATTGAAACAGTTCCAAACTCTGGGGCTGGGAAGACCCTGCTAGCAGATACAATCCATGGAGGGAAAGTAAAGTGAAGGCTTGTGAGATTCAGAATGCTACCATATATTTTTTTCTACTTCTCTATCTCTCAATCCTGCCATTTTTATCCTGTTCCGTGATAAAACCACAGCCCTCCCAGTTTCACCTAAGGCCAAATCAGATCTTTATCCCACAAAATGTCACTCTGAGCTACAGTGTGACAGTATCCATCTGACAGAGTGTCTCATTTCAAACTCCAGTTTCTGCTTCAGATTGGCTTTGACTTGGACTTGACAAGCCGAGCGCAATAACTACGTTCTTTCTGGACTTCATGCATGTAAATTGCGACATATTGATCAAGGCGCTCTCCCTCGCGGCTGCCTATGTAACCGAATTCCTCCTACATGGCATGCTGAGAGGATGACTGATGCGAGACAGTGAGGTTGCAGCCCGAGACCAAAAAGATCCGCCTCGGCGCCAGCCTGCGCGATCCACGGCTGCGTTTGTTAAGGTCTTAAATCTCGGAGATTTCCCTTAAAGGCAGGGCGCCTCTTTTGCCGCAGGCTGTAAGAAAGTCGATCGCATTTTTTCTGTCAAGGCGGCATTAAACGTTGTCTGGGGGCCAAATCTCTCTTTCTCGTGCAGCTTCGCCGCCCAGTTTCTCTCAGAGCCCTTTGAGGAGCGTGCTGAAAGCCCGCACTGGCACCGAGGTGACCCTGGAGTGCAGGCCACAAGCCTCGCCAAGAGCCATCAGCCTGTGGAAGCGAGGGAGTGAGATGCTCCAGAAGAATGAAAGGTGAAATAGACTGCATAATCTATAGTGGCTCTCCTCTGCACACATATGTACTGTCGAACATGCACTCAATAGGTTTGCACCACCGCTTACTCTAAACATACACAGCACCAGTTTGAAGACGCCTACTCGTTTTTACTGTTTTCCACATTTTAGATCAATATCAAAACCCTCAAAACTGTACATTAAGTAGGGCTGGTAAGGTTAACGCAACAAAATGATTGACCTCATTTAATTTTTTAACACTGGTGACCCTTCAAACCACCCGTAGAAGTGAAGCTGAAGTCCGCTGTATGTTGCTCTGATAGAATCCGTGATTGTAGTGCTCTCATTTAAAAACAACTTTTAAAGAGAGACTTTCGGTGTTCATCTCGTGGCAAGGGTGCCCAAACTTTTTGTCTTGTGTATCTGTGTATCTGTACAATGTACAGACAAAGAAGGCAGGTGGGTTTCAAATCAACCTTTTAAAAATGTGTTTTAGAACATTACATTATCTTTTGTTATCAAAATACTTTAAAAATACATACAGAGTCTTATTTAATATAAAAATATGTTAGGGTAAGTTTTGGGTGGGAATCACTTGATTTTTGTGTTCTGGTTCATGTGAACTCATTATTTACGCAATGAAAATAATATTATTAAATCATTGAAAGTATGCCTAAACCTTTTTTCTTGGGGGTTTGGTTTGTGGTGGGCAAAGGGCTAAAAATACAACACGATGTACACATAAAGTAAAACGATTATGAAATGCTTTTAAAAATGTGTTTTAGAACATTATCTTTTGTTATCAAAATAGTTTAAAAATACATGCAGAGTTATAGATAGTATAAAATATGTTAGAGTAAATTCTGAGTGGAAATCATATGATTTCTGTGTTCTGGTTTACCTGAACTCTATATTTACAAAATGAAAATAATGTTATTAAATTATTGAAAGTAATGATGCTTATTTTGTCCATTCAATGCAAAAAAAAAACGTATTTAAATCTTCGTTTATGGTCAGATTAGCAAATAAGACAAATAATTAGTCGTGATTAGCTACACGAAATAAAGTGATTCATTATTTTAATAATTTGACAGTCCCAGAAATAACACATGGAATTAGAATTATGCAGTGACCAAAAAGTCAAAATGAGAATTATATTTTTCATTTTTTGCACATTCTTAGCCGTCTCTCATCCAGCTTGATGAGGAACCACTGGGGATGTTTTCCCAACAGACCTGAAGAAGTTTCACATACAGTCATATGAAAAGTTTTGACGCCTGTGGTCAAATGACATGTTGTTGATTTTTTAAGAGAAAATAAGTTAACACCTCCTCTACCACTCTACTACACATTTTAATAAACAGTTACTGTTTATCTGCTTGATTTACCATATTGGAAAAAATATAAAACATAAAATGTGGCCTGTACAAAAATTGACACGTTTTCCCACCAAATATGTTAAACTCTAAAAAATAAATAATAAATTCTGCATTTAAATGTGCAGAAGAGTGTTCTCTGCGAGGATGTGTTAACTTATTATCACTTAGAAAATCAACAGCAGAGCTAATTTGACAGGGTGTGTTCAAACTTTTGTGTACAACTGAACACTGAGGGCTTAAAAAGTATTAGCAATTTTATTTATATCCATCTTATAAACTAATTTTAAACACTTCAGCATAAGTCAGTCAGGTGCGGCCAAACGTGTTTGAGTGCTACTGTACTTCTAAACTAGTGCTTAGACTTGTGCTTTATTGGTTTTCTTCTCCAGGTTATCTCTCTTCCCCAATGGAACGCTGAAGATTGCCAATGTGACTAAGCGAGACGGAGGCATTTACACGTGCATCGCCAAAAACCAGTTTGGCAGTGCGAGCACGGCAGGCCGGCTGTTGATCACAGGTTAGTCGCTCAAATTTTTCACTATAGTGCTGAAGTTTAAGTGTGGAGTTTAGAGTTTCAGATAGTTGCTGCTGTTGTTGTTGTTGTTTGTGTTAATCTCAGCACCAAAAAGCTCTGTCATGCATTTTAATGCATGCATGGACAGTGTCTGCTCTTGCTTTTGAAGTATTAATTTTCCAGTATAGTACACTTACAGAGAATGTCTGCTCAGCAGAAAGTGTGAGCGTTGATGATAAAGGATGGCCTGTATTATAGATACAGGAAACGGGAAAAATAGCTTTCATTCACATGTGCACATCCCTAACATATCATCACTGTAATAAAAAAAAATTATATTTGTGAAATGTTGGGGTTGACCGATATGAAAACTGAGTGATACTGATTTTAAGGGGCTAAAAATTCCGATAACCAAATATATCAGCTGATATAGTTTGGCTTTTAATTTTATACTCCAATAGTTTTAGTTTTAATGTGTTATAACATTTTTCCCCATACTAAATGTAAGATTTGTAAACATGTGACCAGTTTTTTGTTTATTTTGTCATTTCAGTTTAGTCTTTTTTTGCGGTCATGTAGTTAAAGTTGGTGTTCTTTATATCGGCCTCCTCAGCCACACAGCTTTCTTAGGTTATACTATCATCAAGAGGTTGTGAGTTCAAATCCCAGTAATGCTCCAACTGGGGGCTGCTCATTTTTGGGAGTTCAGGAGTCAGTTCCAGTTTCAGTTGATGGGTTGATTCTCCACAACATATTATCATATTAACTTTTACATGGGAATTCAGCTGTAAATAACAAGATGGAGTTAGTGTGAACTCAAGCCAGAATACCAGCAAGATTGCTACAGCAGTTTACCTGCACGAACCCTAACTGTTATAATTCTTGCAAATGTATCTGTTCTAGGAGGGCAAACATGACCAGAAACCGATACGTTAAAATGATGTCTTGATTAAAATCAGCAAAGCTCAATGTATCTGCAGGGTTTTTGTTTTTACAGTGTTGAGTTTTCAGGATTTCAGTAAAGAAAACCATCACTGGAGTATATTTTATACACAATTCTAATCAAATGCCTCTTGAGAGAGGCAGCAAAATCTGCCCCTTGAGCCTGAGAGGCTGCTACTGCCTCAAAACATGATGGAAAACTTCCATAAGACTTCTGTGTTTACCACATATAAACATATCAAATGTAGACAAATTCTAGTTACAAACATGTTTTTACACTTTGTTTAAAGTAAAATGCAGCCAATCTAGAGATGTATGTGTTGTAGAAGGATGCGTTTTTCAGACAAGGTGCCTAGATAGTGTGCAGAGTTGTAGCAACCAAAAAAGTCACTAATTGTCAGCACATTATTGGCGATAGATTCGCCGGTACACCGTTAGAAATAAAGATTCTGTGCAGGTACGTTTTTGTTTCATTAAGGTACAAACAATGTAAATGTTTCCTAAAAGGTTCAACAGTGGTTTTAAGGTCTGATTGTGAACCTTAAATAAGTGTTTCCAGGTGAAAAGTTCGTATTTGTACCTTTTCATAACCGAATGTTTTAAATAGAACAGTAAAATAAAAGCCTGGAGACGAGACGGGGTGTGTGGAGTCAGTACAGCTTAGAACATAGCATTTCAGTGGATTATGGTACAGTTATGTTCCCTGACTAAAGGTACTGAGATGGACCCTTGAGGGTCCCACCCCAGTGACAAGAGGGGGACTGCCCCAGTGACAGTGGCGTACCTTTATTTCTGAGAGTGTAGCGATAAAATTGTGGGTTATCACTATTGATCATTATTATAAACTGGCTCTACGTTACAGGAGAAAGAAAAAGTTCTTGTTATTTAAAGTAAGTCAATGTAATGTATTTCTATTTGTCCATTCATCATGAAATGTTGACACAATGTAAATTATGGAAATGTCAGCACAATACTTAACCCATTTTAAGCCCTATATACTGCAGTATGCTTAATCTTTCCCTACCACATTGAGGGAATTAGCTAATTGTGCAATCCTAAGAGACTCCCTGTCTATTCCATTCTCAAAGCCACGGCTCACTTATGAGAAAACTCAATAAAGTTCACATCCTTTTCCTTCCTATATACTCATCTGTGCCTAATGGTGCTGTAATCATACTGTTAATGTCAGCCAAGATTAGTGTGCCTATTGCTACTACTCTTAAATGCTATATTGTTATCTCCTCATTAAACTGCATGATGGATCTAGTGTTTTCTTACTTTTTGTCCCCCATTAAGCAGGATATGTGTTTAATTGGTACGTTTGTTGTGTTAAAGCAGAAAGTGTGTGTATGTGAGCGAGCCAGTCTCTTTTATGAATGTCCTGTCAGCTGTTTTTTTTTGGTCATTAGCTTTTTTGTTATGAGCCACAAGCTGACCCTTTTAATCTAGTGTAATTTAATTAGCATGACCTTTCCCTCAGAAGACATCCACACACCACTGCATCCCGTTCACTCCAGACGCCCTGCACAATGTATTTCCCCCTATTAAATCCCACTTAACTTTTCCTCGTGCCGACAGTCACCATAGCACACAGCAGTGCCTCTTAACCTTTTCACAAGTGTACAGCAGTTTTTAAAAAATGCAGGTGCTGTATTGCCAGATTAGATGCATGTGAAGTAGATCGGATCTCGGTTGGTTAACCCACCTGTTAGCTTCATCCCTCCATCGAAATGCAAGTTTGCCACGTTGCAGTGCATTAGCACCAAGGATAAACCACTTCACTGGATTGTAAACACTTCATTCACTTTCATAATATTCTAATATGATTAAGTACATCAGCTGCTCCCGAAGGTCTTTTGTGTAGCTTTTCAATATGCCTCTTAAAGGGCTCATATCCATCATATTCCCCTGAGGTCCACTTATGATGTTTGTGTGGTTTTATGGATCAAAAACAGTCATTATTCCTTCATACATGACCAGTTTTTAACCTTTCTATATCACTTGGTATCATACAGACTGTTTTTGGTACTGTGCCTTTAAGAGTGATATATGCAAATGATGTAAATGATTGACTGTGCCTCATTCAAAAAACAGTCTGGGCTGAAACACTCCTTATAACTTCAGTGTGAGTGGCTGAGGCTAAACTGCTTAATTGATTCAATATTATTATTTGATATAATTGAGTTTTTTCTTGACATCAAAGAAGCAAAGAATTCAAAACAGGCTTCACAGCTTAGTTTCCATAGATGTCCAGTGTGGACCGGGGAATGGACAGTACATTTTGAAACTTTAGCAATGTTTAGTATGGGTATCATACTCTTTAATTCCAAAAAGACGTGAAAAAATTGGTCTTCCATGATATGGGTTCTCAAAGCCAAATACTGACCATGCTTTATTGGTTCTTGGTCCTCTAAGACATCACTCAAACCACCCTGATTGACCATGCGTCAACTAAAACCAAAAATACTGGTTGAAATTCTTGTGAACTTATGAGTTTTGTCCTTACCGTCATACTGATATGTCACAAAATAAATGCAGAAGACGCAGCATACAAACAGTGTGAAACGCCCGTACTGTGCATGTAGTGAGTTGCAGTCAGAAATTAGGATGTAATGAGTAAATGAGTGAAAGGGAGAAAAGAAACTGGAAGCCAGTCTCTTGGGGTTAGCCATTAGCTGGTAGCCTAGCATGAGGATTAGACAGCTTTCCATCCATACCACCTACAGTGGTTCTCGCTCGTCCAGCTGCTTCAGGCCTGGTCCTCTCTACAAGCTGAGAGTCTCCAAAGCTTCTCGGTTAATACTGGTAGCGTGAATGGCTTGTGACATTTACCTCTCAGTCATAGATGAAACATGTGAGACAAACATAAAATGATATTTTTAGCACTGTTTTTGAAGAGCTCAGAGAAGCCACTGTGTGCTTTGCATGCACTCACATCCATCTTGTTTAGATGGTTTAGAAAGCAGTCTTGACTTCTGTCTATATATTGTCAATTTCCATTTTTACTATTTCACCAAATAAAAATTATTTAGATTTACTTCAGTTGTTAAATAGGGAAATTGGTAGGTTTTGTGTCGGATGAGCAACTGCCTCTTCAGATGAGCTAATAGGCTAACAGCTAATCTGTACAGCATTGGACGCTAATGGGGGCCGGTTATCTTCTGCACAAGATCTTTTCTCCTCAGTGGACGATGCACCAACATGTTATTTGTCAGAGAAATATCTTTTCATTGTTTCTGGACCTAGATAACATCAGCTAAGCAGTTAGCCTACTTAGCAATAAAGCCATGCTATTTCTGCCTAGTCATTTCCTGAACAGTGCATCCTTGGCTACATGCTTATGTTAAAGCACTTGTGTTTTGTAGCCCAGTGTAATAAAATATACATACTAATACAAAACTGTCACATTTTACAGACCTGTCAAAACATAAAAATGCCATTTCCCTGAACTGTTGGTTTGTGTATTTTCTGTCTTCCCATAATGATTCATAAAAAGTACTTGAAATAAGATTTCAGTATTTAAATACTAATACCTGGGATGGTTAACTGGGGTCTAAATAATATCTTTAAAATGATCATTTTATATTTGTATATTGGAGCAGTGTGTCACAGTGTTTCAGTAGATTTTCTGTAGCTTTCTGAGCAGAATAAAGCTGACGGATCTATGTTGGCACTGTGTTCAGAGCCGACCAGGATCACGCAGGGCCCCAGCAGTCTGGAGATCATAGTGGGCGAGAGTATTGTGCTGCCCTGCCAGGTGGCCTTGGATCCAGCCCTCGATGTGACCTTCTCCTGGGCCTTTAACGGCCAGCTCATTGACTTCCACCAGGACTCGGACCACTTTGAGAGAGTCGGCGGGGTAAGTAGAATGCAAGACTGGTCCCTGCCAGATTGTGCCATGTACTTCTGCCCTTTGTGACGGGAGCCAAAAGCACTGAAATGTCATGAACAAGGACTCAGATGACATCCACACAATGTAGCTCTACTTTGTGTTTCACCTTGTTATTGTAGCATGATTAGAAATGAATGTGCCAGTTAGCATAGCTCAAAATTCTGGGGCCTGTATGTATAGATGAGTCTGTAGTGCCCTGCTGAAAAACACAGCCTGAATTCAGTGCTGGTCTGTGCTGGTCTAATACTGGTCTGCTGGTTTAGCTGGTTACCCAGCATGGTCATGCTTGCTGACCAGAATACCAGCAAACAAAACACAACATATGCTGGTTTGACCAGCTATGCTGGTTGATGCTGTTTTTTTCTAGCAGAGTGATTGTTGGGCTAATTGTCGATAGTCAGTGAATGTGTTTCATGAAGGTATGCTAAGTCATGTTAAGGGATGCCCAGTGATGTCGTATCAGTATCGTTATGATTATTTATAGAGCACCTTTCATACCATGCCGTCATTCAAAGTGCTGTACAAATGAGAAAATACACAATTGAGAACAGAAATGAAAAACATAATTAAAACATGATTAAAACAATAGATTTAAAAGAGAAAAGCATTAAATTAAAAATCAAATTAGAAATTAAGTGAGGATAGTTCAAAAATCAAATTAAAATTTTAAAGTTAGATTAGGATTTAAAAAAGGTGCCATTACAGAGCAAAAAGGGCTAGAAATGCTAACAGTTGTCTGATGAGATTTGACCTATATTTAAGCAGAACTTTTAGATGATGCTGTCTTATATAATAAAATATCTACATTTTATTCATTTTACTGTATTTATAACCCTGTAGTAGTCCATCTGTTTCTCTGCATACTTTGTTAGCCCCCTTTTACTGTCCTCTTCAGTGGTCAGGACCCCCATGGACCCTCACAGAGCAGGTGCTATTTGGGTGGTGGATCATTCTCAGCACTGCAGTAACACTGATGTGGTGGTGGTGTGTTAGCGTGTGTGGTGCTGGTATGAGTGGGTTAGACACAGCAGTGCTGCTGGAGTCCTGACCACTGAAGAACAGGGTAAAAGGGGGCTAACAAAGTATGCAGAGAAACAGATGGACTACAGTCTGTAACTGTAGAACTACAAAGTGCACCTATATAGTAAGTGGAGCTGATAAAATGGACAATGAGCGTAGAAACAAGGATAATCATAGTCATAATGTTATGCCTGATCGGTGTACATATATATATATATATATATATATAAGATATGACTAATTGTGTTGTGCTCATTAGACAGTACTCCTCAGACTTTTATTCTGTACATCCCTCCCCTTTGGTCTCTCTTACCTCTTCTTTATTTTGCCTATTTTTTCTCTGTTATGCTCAAAGCAAAAAAGCACTATTTACACTAGGCTGGTTCCAAATTGCCTAATTAAACAAGCTTAAACAACTAACTTAAACTGCTCTAGAATCATTACCAACTTGAGCTCACCTTTCCCCTGAAAGAAACTAGCCCTCTTCACTTCTTTCCTTCGTTTTCTTTCTGTCTTTGATATCGCACTTTAGTTTTCTTGGGAAAACGCGTGATTGTGTTTCAGCTCCATCTTTGATTAGCCACATTTTAAGGCTGAATCTCTGTGTGGGCCAGAGTGAACCGTTTGGGTGTTTTTTATGTCTTGCTATCTCCCTGCTTATTTTTTACGGTTGGAAAGTTCTGTTTCTCATCCTATTTATTCTGCCAATATTAGTTTATTTAGCACTGTAATTGCCTAAAAACTGTAAATTGGACATCAAAACAAACTTTATGTTCCTTTTTGTAACCTCTGCCCACTTCTGTTCCAACTTCAATGCTCCGTATTCTGTCGTTTGTTCGTTCATGTATATATTTATTAAGTTTAGCATTTTCATTTTTGTATTTTTAACTTCTTCTTAAAGGGGAATTCCACCAATTTTTCAAAATGTCTGCCTTCAGTTATTTAAGCAATTGTACAGACTGCCAGCCCAAATCCGATTTTTGGCATATCCACATTGAATCCAGATTGATTTTTGATAGTCTGGAAAGCAAAAAACCCTGAAAAAAATCTGATGTAAAACGCATTTGAAGGTGGTTTGAAATGCATCTCAGTCTGGACGCTCGGACGCTCAAATCAGATTTCAAAGTGTTCACTGTTCTTGAATCCCAGCACAGTGTTGTTGTCGTAGCGAGCAACACAATAACAACACTGTGCTGGGATTCAAGAACAGCACCAAAGATTCATGCTGATTCCAGGCTCTTTTGAAGAGTTTGGAGGGTGAGATGATGCACCTCCATCTCTCCTGCATCTGTTTTTGAAATCCACGTCACCAGCGTAGCTACATAGTTACTGATGCCTACACTGTAAATAATGATTGTGTGTAAACTTAAAAAGTCAGCAGCCTAGTTGCCTTAAACATTTTCACGGAACTTCAAATAATAAGCTAACAGAATGTGAAACAAATTTCTGGTAACTTGCAATTAGAAGTTCAGTAAACTCAAAATTTTAACCAAGTTACTTACTTTTTGAACTTTTCTGAAACACAATCAATTTTTACAGAGTACGTCATCAGCACAGCAGCCCATGCAGGTCGGCTGGTGATGTCTACACACACAAATCCAATCTGATCACTTGAAAATAACAGTGCAGACAGATCTGACTTGAGAAACTAATCCGATTTGCCTGCAGTCTGAACAGAGCCTTTGATGTGACTATTCAGAGTAGTCTGATGTGAAGAGCTCCATTCTGAAGAAACTGAAAGAATTGTTCACAGTGGTGGTGAAAAGAACCAGACGTCTGAAGAGTTCAATGCCCCTAAAAGCTCCCTCACAGAAAATGATTACATGAAATGGTCATGAATACATAACTCATGCTCAAGCTACAATGCGTGAGACATTGACTTATGACAGTTTTGAGAAGATTTTGGTTTAAAATGCAGTATTTAACATTGATTCGTAGCGGAGAGGTAAATGCAGTGTATTGTAAGGCAAAGGTGTGCTCAAAGAAATTGGGTTTCCACTATTTTACCATCATAAAAGCCCAGAAGACAGTGTTTGCAGGATTGTTTGGATTGTAAAGAAAATGTCTATATTGGCAGTTTTGACATTGTGATGGTAAGTGAACCACTTCACATCAAACCACTTGGAATGACATTGTTAACATCTCAACCATTGAACTATGCAGACATTTTTAATAATGATAAGAATTCCCCTTTGACATCCACTGCTTTTGACCTCGCTAACTGACACACATGGCAGTATGTAAAACTGAACCTTCTCCTTCAGAGAGTTCTGGTCCTCATTACTGCCGTAGTTGAAAAAGAACATTCCGGACGATTTCCATTCACTTGTTCTGGGTCACTCCATTGATGACCTACATTGACAGTGAATGAATTGCCATGATTGGAGAACAGTCTGTGCGATACAGTTTGCAAAAGAGAAAGGGGCCACATCAATTAAAACTGTGTTTTTTCCCTATTTTTCTTCCTCCCAACATCTAATTTTTGCACCTCAAGGGGGAACATTCCTTATCGTCAGTCTTTGCTGTAATTGAATTTGCATACCTATTTGTGTAGCTAGAGCCCTGAAATAATTTCATAATGAGTTTGCTGGCATGAACCAAGGGCAAGGCTGGCACAAGTCAAATGATGATTTGAAATCCTGCCTCGAATTGCCAGATAAGACACTGGGCTTTGTTGAATGTGTTCCTTTTTTAATGTAGGACTCAACCGTTTGTTCTCAGCTTGTCCCTGGCAAATTATTTAAATGAGGAAAAAACAATGTCAGAAGAAAGCGATTATTTATCAAGTTACAGATTCCCAGAGTGCTCATGGAAAAACATTCAAGGCAGTGCGCTGGGGTTTTGTCACATTGACGTGGTCACACCTCGGGCTCTCCTCTCGGTGGTGGTTACAGCCGACAACGACATATGCTGACACGGGATGTAATGAGATGCTGGTTTTTCACGGCCTCCCGTTTGTGGAGATTACCGCTTCCCATCTCGGCTGCTTGGGATGAATACATTAGCATAATTAAACAGCACCCAACCTCCCCGGCCTCCCTCCCCGACTGTCAGAGCTGGAGTTTTCTCGCTGCCAGCTGCTTGACGTCCTCAGAGACAGAGGCCTTTTGTCTGGGACAGTGACTTGTCAGAGAAGGGGAAGCCTCCCGATGCAGCAGCAGTTCCAGCCCTCTTTGCAACCTGCGGCCCACCGGCCTTCTTGCATGAGTTGACATGTGGGCTGGGTTCTCCAGAAAAAAACTTGAGGGAATGTTCTGTGACTCGTGTCTTGGTAACCTAGATTACCCCTGAGTGAATCATCCCTCCACGCGCTTCATCTTAGGAGCTGAAAGCTGCATGTTGACAGGGACTTTTGGGAATTAATTCCATGTGGATTGTGCATACATATAATATATATATATATATATAGTCATTGTCCATTTTATCAGCTCCACTTACTATATAGGTGCACTTTGTAGTTCTACAGTTACAGACTGTAGTCCATCTGTTTCTCTGCATACTCTGTTAGCCCCCTTTTACCCTGTTCTTCGGTGGTCAGGACCCCCATGGACCCCCACAGAGCAGGTACTATTTGGGTGGTGGATCATTCTCAGCACTGCAGTGACACTGACGTGGTGGTGGTGTGTTAGTGTGTGTTGCGCTGGTCTGAGTGGATCAGACACAGCAGTGCTGCTGGAGTTTGTAAACACCTCAGTGTCTGGACCGAGAATAGTCCACCAAAAATATCCAGCCAACAGCGTCCTGTGACCACTGATGAAGGACTAGAGGATGACCAACACAAACTGTGCAGCAGCAGATGAGCTATCGTCTCTGACTTTACATCTACAAGGTGGACTGACAAGATAGGAGTGTCTAATAGAGTGGACAGTGAGTAGTCAGGACTCCAGCAGCACTGCTGTGTCTGATCCACTTGTACCAGCGCAACACACACTAACACACCACCATCACGTCAGTGTTACTGCAGTGCTGAGAATGATCCACCATCCAAACAGTACCTGCTCTGTGAGGGTCCATGGGGGTCCTGAGCACTGAAGAACAGGGTAAAAGGGGGCTAACAAAGTATCAGAGAAACAGATGGACTGCAGTCTGTAACTGTAGAACTACGAAGTGCACCTATATAGTAAGTGGAGCTGATAAAATGGACAATGAGCGTAGAAACAAGAAGGTGGTCATAATGTTATGTCTGATCGCTGTATGTATGTATATATATAAATTGATACGTTTGTACACAGTTGTCCACTTTCACAGCAGACGTTGTCGTGAAACACAGCCGCAGACAGTCAATACAGTCAATATCAGTTAGGCAGTCGATTTGATCTGTACTCCTCTGAAATCCGCATTCGTTTTACATCTCACGCCGCTGTGACTGCAGCTTTTGATGAAAGACGCTTTCAAATACCAACATCTACCGACTTGTGCCTCCCCTGTACCGACAGTTATTTATTCCCCATGGTGTCAGCGTGCTTTGTATTTTATTTAGAACAATATTAGCTCTCGTTATGTGTGTCTTGCTGCTCCCCAACCCGCCCCCCTCCCCCCCGCTTATGTAATTACGGAATAATTAGTATCTTGCCAATTAGCCGGAGCGTGTTTGTTTTAGCGGGCTCTTGTGTGCGTCTGGGAGAGCCGGATAGGAGCACAGCCCGGAGGCTAGTCGGCAGCGCGGTCTGTTCTGTCTCGCCAGGGACATTTTAAGCGGGGAGGGTGAGTGTCCCAGAGGACGCGGAGACCTTAGGGCCTCGACGAGATGCAGACAGTTTTGGCTTCAGTCGCGGCCACATGTCACAATTCCTCATTGCTCAGTGTCGAACCACTTCGCAAGGTCAAAGACAAACTCCCTGACACTCTGAATGTTCACCCTTTGTTATCATCAGCTGCTTGAGACACTCAAAGTACTGACTCACTGCCTGTGGTTGAGATAATAGTTTAGCATAAAGGCAAATGAATACATTTTTCCCAGTAGCCTAAACGTATCCTTTGCATGGTGAAAGCGTTCTTCAGATTGATGGAGAACGTGCTGTAGATAGTTCTATATAGAACCTTTTTGAAAAAGGGTTCTACGTTGCACCAAATAGGGTTCTGCTATTGTTATGATGTCAAGCTTCTGACAATAGAAGAACCCTTTTTAAAAAGATTCTATATAGAACCATTTATAGCACATTCTACATCAATCTCAGGAACGCTTTCACGATGCGAAGAACCCTTTAATCATGCAAGGGGTTCTTTGAGTGTTCATGGTTCTAAGTGGAACCATTTTCTTTATTACATGACCCTTGAAGAACCATCATTTTAACCCTTGTGTGGTGTTCAGGTCTGTGGGACCCATTTTCAGTGTTTACCAAAAGAAAAAATGATGTGATTTATTATTATTTCAACCTCAGATTCTTGTCCTTTGCTCATTTTCTGTGAAGAACATATAAAATAACCCATTTTCAGTGTCTTCACTCTGTTCACCCCCCACACATTTATATTACACGTGTGGTGTTGGGTGAACCTGCAGGGGAGTAAAAGTGTGGAGGTGCTGTGTCCTTCACTCTGTTCTCCTCCTACATGGCCTGCTGTTCGTGTGTGTGTGTCTATGTGTGTATGTGTTTGTATATGTGTGTGTGTGTGTGTGTGTGTGTGTGTGAGGGTGGACAACATGGACAGGCTGCTGACTGGCTACAGCTGCTAAAGGAGAACCCTACGCTGGACACTTGTGATATTTTAAACATCTGGTATTTTCACATAAATTGTTATGGCTATATTGATTTAAAAAACAATAATGTGGTGGGTCCAGCAGACCACTGAGTAACACACACATCAACACCACACAAGGGTTAAGTGTGCACTGTAAATTCTACTGTATACATTTACAATTATTGTTTTTGTCAAGTTATCTACCTCATAACATTTGATCACCACTTTTCAAACATATTGAGTTCTAGATGTGAATTTTATTTAAACCTTATTCTCATGTTCTCCAGCTTCTTTTCAGAATCATCCACAGCTCTGTTCATCAATTTGGATATGTCTAACGCTTCCTAGCTTGCTATGGTAACACTTTACTGTAGAACAGTGTTCTTAAGGCTACATGACACCTATATAAACCCTTCATAACTGACAGAGAGCCACACAAATAAATAAGTATATAGATTTTGCTTTGAGTGACTTTAATTTTGTTTATTTTATTAAAACAAATGATTAAACGTTCCATTTTGAAACTAATAAAACAATCATAATCAACATTTGGTGAAGTTTCAATAGAGACTGTTTCGGTAGTGACAATTCTTAATGTTCCACACTGATTTTCAGACTTTGGGACTTATTTATTCCAAAACAATGGGATCTAACTGCTCAACATGTGGCCATGAGGGACAGGGATGCAGCCTCACCTCCTGCTCTAAAATGCAGAGGAGTGGCTAAAATAAGGCTCCGCCTGCAAATCTAAAACTCTTTTTTAAATTTATTTTTAATCTGTAATTCAACTTCACTTAAAAAGAAATCAAAAATATCTACAAATGAACAGTAATGCCATATCTGGAATGGTATCCTAATCACTATATCCTGCACTTGAAAATCTGGATCACTATACATACATACATACATCATCTAAACCGCTGATCCTTCTGGGTCGCGGTGGGGTGCTGGAGCCTATCCCAGCTGTCATTGGGCGGAAGGCAGGACACACCCTGGACAGGTCGCCAGTCCATCGCAGGGCAGGATCACTATACAGAACAACCCTATTATGAGAAACAGAAATCTGTGATGGTAGTAAACGATTTCGGACACTACGTCATACAGGTAGCTCGTTACTGTGCGACAGCAAATTTCATCGCGTAAACTCTACAAACGTCGTGCTATAACTGCTGAGTCTGACTGCACACGTGAGAGGAGCTCACATCTGTAGCAGGTCTGAGGAGAGCTCTGTGGAGAAGCTGCTGTTGTAGCTGGGTTCGCTAATTCTCCTCAGAGAAGCTGCGTGTGAATCTTCAAACTAAACAACGCAGTGCATTATGGGTATCTCCTATCCCCTAGGGTACATCAGTTGTACGCTACTTATTGCAGTGCACTGTGGGTCTGTTTGAGTGCAGTGGATCTTCTGCATGTTGTTTTCAGACACCACAACAAAATGCAGAACCCCCCAAAAAAGTGCATTAGATGTGTAAAGTGTAAATGTAGGAGTTAGGGTTTGGGACAGACACCTCACTATAGAAAGCACCCTATAAATGATGATTTGGTTAATATTTTGATTATTACTCTCTCAATGAATGCCTTGAGTTTTAATAGATCATAACATAATCTTTGTAAATATCTATGGTCTGAATATTTCATTGTTTCTTTTTTTTAAATCGCTTGTGTTTGCTGTGGGAACGCAGTTAGAGCAGACTAAATAGAATGGTCCATATAAATTCTTATTCCAATCAGCTTCGTTTGTAATAAAGTTTGCATTTATTCCAGCTTTGTTGACACGTTGACATAACACATATGTCAGATGACACTGATCTTTTTTCTGTCATTAAGCTGTGGCATAACACTTTCTGTGGTGAAGTGACATTATTACAACAACTGATTTCGCAGCTCAGTGTATGTCACACTGACATAATGCTGATAATGTGACAGCTTGCAAAGTCAGACTGGTTGAACAAAAGTGAGCATTTTCTGAGGCTCCTAGATAAAGTGAGCTTTGTTTTAACAATTATATGACTTTTATGAATCCATATTTCAGTGTTATGTATTTTCTCTGGACATTTGGTAAAATGGGTTTGCTGTATAATGACCTATGAAATAGGACTAGTGTACATTCTTCATATTATACATTTATCTGAAACCAATTTGAGCAGTAGTGCATGTGCTGATTTAGACACAATGCTAACCGATATGGTAAAGATTCCCTTACTTGTTAGCTATATAAGCTTCATAAGCTTAGCTGTGGTGCAGAAATACAGACAGACATTTTAGACGGTAAACGTGTCATGGCCGAACTACATTTGGATCAAAGGGGGGAAATTGCTGGCACTCTTGGGAAAAATTAGCTGACAGTGAAAAATATGAAAGGTAGCATTAACCAAAGATGAAAAGAAATCAATAGAAGAATCTGTGTTTTTTTTTTTCTCAAAAAAGAACATGCATTGAACATGCGTGTGATTCAGGCCTCTGATTTCTTGTCTGTAAGATGAAGAATCATAATCAGACCCCATTTGAACACATGTGCCTTGGTAGAGCGGCAGGGGATGTTGAGTTTGTACATTAGCAGTGGATTTTCACGAACTGTGCTGAAATTTTATTTTGATATTTCCCACAGAGGAATGCCGGCGACCTGATGATTCGAAACATCCAGTTACACCATGGTGGGAAGTACGTCTGTATTATTGACACTGATGTGGAGAGCTTGTCTGTGGATGCAGTTTTGATTGTGAAAGGTAAGAAAACCTGCTGTTAAATGTAGTTTTCCTCTGTAAATCTTCTATTTCTTGAAAGAAGCCTGTATCACATATGTGTCTTGTTCAGTTCTAAGGCTCAGAAGCCATTTGTAATGCTCCGAGAACTGGTCAGAAGCGAAAGTGTGAGCTTTGGTTAGCCAAAGACGTAATCCAGAAACAGGCCAAGGTCAAAACCAGGATAGACAGTCCAAAACGCACGGGGATAAAAGAAGTAATCAAAGCCAAAACAGAGATTTCCAAATGAGCCAAAACACCAAACAGGGAAATCCAAAGACAAGGTCGAACAAACAATGCAGGTAGGTACACAGTGAGAACAGACAGGTGAATAACGCTCAGTATGCTCTGTAAACAGTGCCAATACTTCACAAAGACAATGTAAGACAAACAGGTGTTTATACAGAGACGTGAAATGAGGAACAGGTGTAAACTGTTAGTATTCAGATGACTTGGAGTGAGGAAGTGGATTGTGATTGGTGGAGGTAGTATGTGCAGGTGTCATGTAATGTCCCCTGAGATCCTGGGAGATGTAGTTCATGGACTAGATGGAGTGAGGAGCACTACAGGGCATGTAGACAGGAAGCGTGACACTATTAACCCCTTAACGTTTCGGGATTTATTACATACTAAGGATTATTCAGTAATTACAGGGACTTCAGTATAAACTAACAGAGCTATTCTTATGTTATAGAAGTGTGTAATAAACCTTTGGACCTGCTTATTAAGGAGTTAAAAGGGCAAAGTTCTCCCAGAAACGTTTAACTGTATTAAGTGACATTTTGATATTTTTGACAATAATTACATATTGATAAAAATCAGCATGAGAATACCTGAGGATGATGAGGTGGATCATATGGCAAAATGATCACTTCAGACATGCACTTAATAATCCAATAACTGCAGGAAATCGGATTTTGTCAGTTATCCGATCAACGCATTTACATGCTCTTGAGGTCGACATGAATCGGACAGCAGATTTCTGCTTTGCAACCAGCCAATAAACTCATAGAAGAAGACGTGACGTAAACATAATGTAAAACTCAAACGTCTTGCTGCAGCTTTTAAAAAAACATCGCACCACTTTACCTGAAAATATAAACTTACATCATCTAGAAGATGAAGAACATTTAAATCCTTTATTTCATCAAGCATGTATTTGGTTTCAGAGTTGCTCCAAATGTGTTTTGCTGCGTCTCGCGCCGATGCTGCTCGCTTATTTCCGGTACTGCAGTCTGTTTTCGCACATGCTCAGACTGAGAAATCCGAAAGAAATCAGAGTAAGAGTTTACGTGCACTGAGAAATCGGATAACTGAGCTAAAATCCAGCCTCTTAATCAGATTTGAAAATCGGAGTATGCTGTTTACATGACCATTTGAATAATCAAATAACTGCAGAAATTTTGATCGGATTATTGACTGCATGCAAACACACTCATTATCACGTTATACAGTATTTATCACAATATTTAGTTTTTCTAAAGTTTATTAAGTTGGTACATCAAAACAATATTGTCAAAAACTATAAATACAATGATTTCTATTTAGCAATTCACACACTGAACTGAACTAAATCTGGTTGAACAGGTCTAATGATGCTCTCTAATTTCAGTGTTCTTTAAGTACTAGCTATGTGCACTATATGCTCAACAAAGCAAATTGTGGAGTAACGATAAATATCATCACACTGTCCACACCTGAAGTGAAATAAGGAACAATTTAGCTTTTAAAAAGTTCTGATGATAGTTGTGCTTGTTATGTACCTGTGATAAGGTTAAAACCTGAGGGCTCCATCCTACATTTTTTGTATTTGATTTTGTTGTTGTGGTTTTATGTATCAAAAACTGATGACTTCAGTATGAATGGGCGGAGATTAACTGCTGTAGCCTGGATGGTTATGAAGTGGATTATTTGCCTTTTGTGACATCAAAAATTAAGCAACGAATTATGTGTGGCGTGGGAATGAGATCCTAATGTATGGCCACGACTTAGTAAGGTGTGGGAATGAGATCCTAATGTATGGCCATGACTTAGTAAGGTGTCGGAATGAGATCCTAATGTATGGCCATGACTTAGTAAGGCGTGGGAACGAGATAATTAAGTCATGGCCACAACTTACTCAGGCGTGGGAACGCGATCCTAATGCATGGCTACGACTTAGTAAGGCGTGGGAACGAGATAATTAAGTCATGACCACACCTAAGTAAGGCATGGGAATGAGATCCTAATGCGTGGCCACAACTTAGTATGGTGTGGGAATGAGATCCTAATGCATGGCCACAGCTAAGTAAGGTGTGGGAACAAGATCCTAATGTGTGGCCATGACTTAGTATGGTGTGAGAATGAGATCCTAATGCGTGGCCACAGCTAAGTAAGGTGTGGGTACAAGATCCTCATGTGTGGCCATGACTTAGTAAGGCGTGGGAATGAGATAATTAAGTCATGGCCACAGCTTAGTCAGGCATGGGAACGAGATCCTTATGTGTGGCCATGACTTAGTAAGGCGTGGGAACGAGATAATTAAGTCATGGCCATAACTTACTAAGGTGTGGGAATGAGGTCCTAATGCATGGCCATGACTTAGTAAGGCATGGGAACGAGATCCTAATGTGTGGCCATGACTTAGTAAGGTATGGGAATGAGATAATTAAGTCGTGGCCGCAACTTAGTAAGGCATTGGAACGAGATCATGCCTTGTTAAAGCTGCGGTCAAAGCTTAATTATCTCATTCCCACGACTTACTAAGTCGTGGCCATGCATTAGGATCTCATTCCCACACCTTCTAAGTCGTGGCCATGCATTAGGATCTCATTCCCACGCCTTCTAAGTCATGGTCATGATTTATTTATCTCTTTCCCACGCATTATTTTTATTTATACAGGATGTCACCAGCAAGGCTCCGTACATAATTCATTTTTATCCATTAGATTTAAACAGGCTGTTTTGTTACCATGCGCTGAAGACTGATATATGTAAAAGAGCTCTGTTCTGATTGGATGTCCAGTATTGCGCTTCATTCAAACAGCAGTTCAGGCTGAAACACACCTTATAACTTCAGTGTGAGTGGGTGGGGCTAAACCGCTGCAGGCTGAATATGTGGATAGATATAAACGTGTGTTTTTTTGTGACCTCACAAATTGAAAATGGGCTGTTTTTGCAGCTTAAATTTGTGGGCTAAAGAGTTCTTGGCACATTTAGAAACTGTCAGTGTCTACTTAATACGTCAAACACTTTAATTTCATCAAAAGCAAAAGAAATTCAGTTTTCCATGGTATGGACCCTTTATTATTTCTAATTTTCTTATATCAAGTAATATGCTAAAACACTTTTTCTTTGCACCCTATTAGCACCAGCTGCTGTTAGCATCCAGCAGGCCCTAACACACATACACGTTAGACGTGTTAGAAACATACACACACATACAAGATGTTGCACACCGTAGAAGGTGTCAGCATCACTGAATATTTTAATAAAGGCCCGTTTTGCCACGCAGACAGGAATAAATGTGTCACTGGAGCTGTTTTATAGTGCACATCACCAGCGCAGGTTTCCTAGCGGCCAACATTGGTATTCTTGCCCATTACACATTATGATAGTTGTCCCAGGTGTTTAACAGTGGAGCTGTTTGTCATAGAGAATGTCTTTAATTGGCTCATTTACACATCAGCTGAGCAGCACGGTAGTCCCAGAATGCAGTGCAATTGGGGAAGAAGGAGGGAGGGGGGGTCATTTAACTGGCACAGAACTGGGCTATCTGGAGCAGAAATGCCCGCCATTTAGTAGCGTACGGGGAGGATACACAGGTGTACACAAGCCCATTTAAATTCACAGGGAGAGCGTTTCTCATTCTTTCCCCAATCATGTGAATAAGCTCCAGGCGAGGTTCAGCTATGCCGATGCAATATCTGATTGATTTGAATATTTATAGACTCTGATCAGGCGTCACCTCCACATTTAGCAGGTCCTGTGTTTGTTGGTGGACACAGAAATGTCCAGACTTGAGAGTAAAACAGCCATAACAGACCTCATCAGGACCAACAAAGTGATCCTGACTTAAGTGTTTCATTTTAAGGGTGAAACTATTAGCATCGACTTGCTAAGGTTGAAGGGGAATTCCACCAGATTTTCAAAATGTCTCTATAATTCACTGTTTGAGATGTAAACAAAGTCATCTACAGTGGTTTGATGTGAAATGGTTCATTTGGAGAGAAACTTACTGGCTTAGATGTCTTTACAGTGGTGGTGATAGGAACCAGTCCTGATGTCTGCAACACAAATACAGACTTTTTTTAAAATTCGGTATTTAAATGTAATATTGATGATGGTAAAATAGTGGTAAATCTGAAAAAAAGAGTTTTCTTTGGGGACTTTTTTGCCTTAGGACACCTTTCGTGTATCCCTCCACCCTAGATAAAAATAAATTGATTCAAATATGTTTAACTTTATCACAAAACTATCATGAAATGTTAATATTCAAAAGCATTTCATGTAATAACTGTCTGTGTGTAGCTTTTAGAGGCATTAAACACTTAAGACGTCTGGTTCCCATCACCACTACATGAACAATTCTGATTCAGTAAGTTTCCCTAGAACAAAGCATTTTACACCAAACCACTCAGAATGACTTTTACATCTTAACGATGAAATTTTGAAAAATCAGTGGAGTTCCACTTTAAGATTAGTGTTAGGTTTAGAGTTAGGTAATAGTTTGTGGTATACTGGTTGAAATTCTTCCACAGGTATGAGTTTTGTCATAACCGTTACACTGGTATGCCACAAATAAACACAAATAAAGAGATGTACAAACAGAGCTAACCACGTAAAGTTAGCCTGTTTAGCTGAGTGGCTGAGTCCGGGATGTTTGAGTCACGTTTTAAGTGAAAATGGAGATGCTCTGCACCCTCGATCACTTCCTGCTGTCTAGGTTTTTACATCTGAGGTAGTCCAATTTTTTCGAAGCAGCAGACATAAAGGAATAGCCAGTGCTTTGAGGTTAGCCTTAGCCTAACATGGACACCAGATCAATATGTATAGGACACACATGAGACAAATGACTTTAGAACTTCGATGAACCTGAGGTTGGCTTCTTATTTGTATTTCTCATTCCACCTTAAATAATGCTGCTGTTATATTCAGGCGCTTGTACAGCAGTCAGAACGGCTGCTTCCTTTAAGGAGGAGCGAAACATTCAAATAAAAAGCTGCCGGAAATTCAGAAAAACAACATTTAGCACCGTTCTGGCCGCCATACCCATGGGACTGGTGCTAGAAATGAAATACTGATATGCATTTTATATATTTTTTGTTTTGTTTTACACAATAAAAATATTTTAGAATCACTTTTGTGGTTCACTGGTTGTTAAAATGGTTCTTATTAAAAAGTGAAAGGACATCCCAGAAAAATAGGCCACTGTTAACCTAAAAAAATGGTTTATTTAAACATCTTAAACAGTTTTATTTGAAAATAAATATACATTGAGATATAAATACCAAATCTGTAAGAACATTTAATTATACCGTGATACAAGTCGTGATACAAATATATAAACTATTATTATATATTTGTAGTTACATATTGTCACCGTCATAAGAAAACCTTGTGGTTATTTTTTTACCACAGCTTATATGTTTTTATACTATTTGAAAAATCTGGCTGTGCTTTACACTGTGTGAACATTTTATGATTAATGGACCAATAGAAATAGTCCAAAATTACTTAAATAAAATCTACTTACATTAACATACATTAATGTTGAGAATGTTTTAGCTTCTTTATAGAATGAACATTTCTGAAGGTTTTGGAGTTTTGTTATGACAGCAGTGGTGTACAGCACTGTGCAAAAGTCAGAGACCACCCTTTCATTTATTTAATTTCCAATCAAAACAGCCATAAAGTTATTCATTTTTCAACTGGAAATAAGTAGAAAACATATATTTACGATAAAATTACACAGGCAAACAATGTAATATTACATATTAATACATTTTTTGTAGTATTTAATGTGTCCAATCTTTACATGATTACAGCTTCTTACAGATTCTTTTAAGGAGACTTGCTTTAAGTTCAGTCTTAGAAGTTGGTTTAGCATTTCCTGCTTCTCACAACACAATTAATCTCAATTACAAATTTAAACTCATCAGTCCATTAAACCTTCCTCCACATCTAAGATGTCTAGGTTCAGAGTTGTAGTGCAAATGTTTTTCTTTTTCTTGTCCGTCTCCTTTTCTCAGTGAGGTTCTTCTTGACATCTACACATCCTTTCAGACCCACAGCGCTGAGTCGTCTTCTCACAGTGGAAGGATGGACAGAAACACCTGTGGATGTTTTCAGATCTGAAGCAGCTTGATTTTCTCCTCTCTCTCGAAGATGAAAGCTTTAAGTGCTGTTTATCTGATAGGGGCAGTTTTGGTGTCGACCAGGTCTTCCAGGTGGTTGTTAGGAGCCACATTATCTCTGTAGCTCTTAATCACTTTTTGAGCTGCAGTTTTGGAAATTTCTGGTTTTTCACTTCTCTCTTTTGACGTCCTCTTTCCTTAGTTGGATTATGCAGGTGGATTATCTTGTCTCCTCAGAATTATCTCCTTAAAAATGAATAACTTGTACTTAATGGTCGCTTGACTGCAAATGAAATAAAACGTGGTCTCTGACTTTTGTGCAGTGCTGTATGTATGACCTCATGTCCTGACATTGTATGAAAACATGCATGTATGTGTGTGTCAGGTCCCCCTGGCCCCCCAGACACAGTGCTGGTGGAGGAAATCACAGACAGCACGGCTCAGCTGACCTGGAGCCCCGGCAGGGACAATGGAAGCCCCATCACCGGCTACATCATTCAGGCCAGGACGCCCTTCACTGTGGGCTGGCAGGCGGTCGACACAGGTAATTTATGACGCTTCGCTGAGAGCCGGTGACGCTGTGTTGTCATTGCACGGCAGAGGAGGATGTTTTATGCGGTGTAGGGAGTCATTGTAATCACACTAAACATCCTATAATGTGCCACGTTGCTCTGTGTGCTTAGTTCCAGAGGTGATCAATGGCAACACTCTGACTGCTACAGTGGTGGATCTAAATGCCTGGGTGGAGTACGAGTTCAGAGTGGTGGCCAGCAACAGTGTGGGCATGGGGGAACCAAGCCCACCATCTGCAAAGACCAGGACAGAAGATGCAAGTGAGTGTTACCCATACATACACTCATAAATACAAACCTCAGTTCCAAAAAATTGGGACAATATGTGAAATGCTAATAAAACGCAGAAAGCAGTGATTCTGTTTGACCTGTATTAAATTGAAGTATTTGGTATTTGTCCTCATGAATTTTTGTTTTTCATTTCAAATTTGATGCCTGCAACAGTTATGACAGGAGCATGTTCATCACTGGATTACATCATCCTTTTTTAATCTTTTAATCTTTTTAATAATCATTTGTTGACTGAAGACACCAATTGATCTAATTCTGAAAGCGAAATAAGTCACGTTATACAGCGTTCAGCTGAGCCACTGTATGGGGCCTTTTTTTGCTGTATTTTGTTCATCATAATGCGCCCCATTTTTTTTAATAGGAGACAGGCAGGCCAGTCTAGCACCTGCACTGTCTGGTTATGAAGCCCTGCTGTTGTAACGTGTAGAATGTGGCTTGACTTTGTCACATTAAAATAAGCGTGGATTTCCGTGAAAAAGACGTCGTCTAGAGGACAGCGTATCATCAACCTTCCTATCTCCAAAATACTAACTTAACAAGAGAAGAAAAATACCTTCTTAACTTTTAATAAAAGTTATTCTAACTGTACTTTTTAGAGTAATTTTGGACAATTTCTGTTGGTATGGCATGAAGGTTTTTGCATAACAGCAGAAATATATTGCTGTAAAATGCATATATGTGTGTGTATGTGTGTTTGTGTGTGTGTTTGTGTGTGTGTGTTTGTGTGTGTGTGTGTGTATACAAATACATATATACAGATATCTTTAAGTGTCAGTGGTGCCTTCACAGATGTGCAGGTTACCCATACCATGAGCAGCAACACACCCCATAACATGACAGGCCCTGGCTTTTGAACTTTACACTGGTAACAGTCTGGAGGGTCCCATTTCTTCTATGACAAAGAGAGTATGGGGTCATATTCTACATTTTGTTTAATCATATGGGATTAATATAATCTTGGGTGATTATTTCTGTGTTCAGAATTAAAATAACCTGGGGTTATTTATACGGTCTGTTTTTTAGTACGGGATTAAAAAAATGGAGTTATTTGTATTTGTTATGTTCATTTTATAGTATGAGATTAGTATAACCTGGGGTTATTTCTGCGGTTTATTTTATAGTACGGGTTTAATATAATCTGGGGTTATTTCTACAGTCCATTTTATAGTGCAGGATTAACATAACCTGAGGCTATTTCTACAGTCTATTTTATACTATGGAATTAAAATAATATGGGATTATTTTAGTGGTCTATTTATAGTATGGGATTAACATAGTCTGGGGTTATTTCTACAGTCTGCTTTATAGTATGGGATAAAAATAATCTGGGATTATTTCTACCGCCTATTTTATAGTATGGGATCAAAATAATCTTGAGTTATTTCTGTGGTCCGTTTTATAGCACTGGATTAATGTAACCTGGGGTTATTTCTATGTTTTTCTTTTCTAGCACAGGATTCATATATCCTGGGCTGATTTCTACAGTCCATTTTATATTGTAGGATTAGAGTAAATGGGGTTATTTCTACAGTACGTTTTACAGTACTGGATTACTATAATATGGAGTTATTTCTGCAGTCTGTTTTCTAGTGTAGGATTACTGTAACCTGGGGTTATTTCTACAGTCTTTTTGTGGTAAGAGATTAAGATAATCTGAAGTTATTTCTAAGGTCCGTTTTATAGTATGGGATTAATACAATCTGGGGTTATTTTCTGGGGTCTGTTTTGTAATACAGGATTAATATAACCTCAGTTATTTCTACTGTTTGTTTTACTTTAGAAACAAACCTTTAGATCTAAAGATTCAGTATGTGTCCACACTTTAGACTGTTACTGTACGTAGAGTGTAGAACACATTCAAGCTCTCTCTCTCCACCAACACCACACACAAAACTGACAAACAGAAGCTGATGCAACAGATTAAACATGACGGATCTTTTCCCCCAGAGCTGCAAACGCATAATGCTGTTGCGTCCTCAGCTCTGCCTCCGTCCGCTGAACAACCCCCGTTCAGCGTGTTCCACTTTACACTCACACATTTCCCAAGACAAACCTTTATTCACGCACCGGGAGCGTTTGACAATTCAATCTCTCTGCCGTTGTTCTGAGTGTCATCCGTGTGAATGGAAACAGGTTGGACTGTCTTAAAGCATACACTGATCTCTCACCACTGTAATTTCCTCCGCAGTTCCTGATACAGCCCCCACCGATGTGGGGGGAGGGGGTGGCACCAAGTCGGAATTAGTGATAACATGGGAGGTAAGTCATTTGTCAGATTTTACTGTCCTCTCCGCTCTTCCCACACTAACACGCACACTCCTTGCTTAATTGTGCGGAATTGAACGAAGCCGTTTTTTACGAGCTCCGCTGCTCTCCTGGTCCGCCTTTTCCGGGCAGCACTTTCAGCTCCATTTCTTCCACTTCAAATAGGATTCAGCTCGGGACCTGAATGTTCCTTTGAAGTCTGGTTCACCCGTAAATGGTTGCCAGTGCACCCCGCCACAGAGGGAATGGGAAGGGGTTTCGGGAGCGGAGAAAAGTCCTCTGTTTCATGACTGCGGGGCATGGGGGAAAAGCTGCAGTAATGCTTTGGCCTAAGGGCAGTGCCTAAAGAATCTCTGTAACACAGGCTTGATTGAAAATGTGAAACTTTTATGTGTAACACAATTAAAGCACAATTAAAATCATGCTGACCTAGGAAACTGCAGACTGACATGGGCTAATGGTTCACTTAATTCAGTGAGGGGACGCTTTATGGCACAATGGACCCCTACTTAAAGATTTTCTATATACACTATGTGGCCAAAAGTATGTGGACACGCCTCCTAATGATTGAGTTCAGATGTTTCAGCCACACCCATTGCTAACAGAGATATAAAATCAAGCACATAACCATGCAGTCTCCATAGACAGACATTGGTAGTAGAATGGGTCGTACTGAAGAGCTCAATGACTTTAAATATGCCAGTGTTATAGGATTACACCTCTGCCATGAGTCAGTTTGTGAAATTTCAGCCCTGCTAGATCTGCCCCAGCCAACTGTAAGTGCTATTATTATGAAATGGAAGTGTCTAAGAGCAACAACAGCTCAGCGGTAGACTATGCATCTCACAGAGTGGAGCCGCAGAGTGCTGAAGAGAAATTGCCTGCAGTCTGTTGCATCACTCAGCACAAACTGCCTCTGGAAACACCATCAGCACAAGAGCTGTGCATCAGGAGCTTCATGAAATGGGTTCCCATGGCTGAGCAGCTGCACACAAGCCTAAGATCACTATGCACAATGCCCAGCATCGGTGTAAAGCATGCTGACGCCAGACTCTGGAGCAGTGGGAACGTGTTCTCTGGAGTGATGAATTATGCTTCACTATCTGGCAGTTTGATGGATGAATCTGGGTTTGACAGATGAGAGGAGAACGCTACCTACCAGAATTCATAGTACCAGCAGTGAAGTTTGGTGGAGGAGGGATAATAGGCTGGGGCTGTTTCTCAGGGTTTGGGCCCCTTAGTGTATTACTGCCCACGCTTTTGGAATGGGATGTCCAAGAAGCTCATATAGGTATGATGGCCAGGTGTCGACATACTTTTGGCCAAATAGTGTGTATTTTGTTTATAGAGAGTCACACTGAATGAGTTTTGATATCATAGTAGACTTTCAGAGTATGATGCTTTCAGTCAGTCAGAAATTCCTTATTCCTTAAAATTACTTATAACCGATGGAAAATAGCATCATCATTGAGTGCCATTAAATGGATAAATGTTTTTATTCTTTAACATTTTGGTCAGCACGAGCCAATCAACAGTGGTCAACACTTTGACAGGCATGTAAAGTTTTGAAAACTGAATTCTACGGAAGTATTTTACAAAGCGAGATTTTTTAATTAACCAGATAACTTAAGCTCAGAGTCAAGCCTGTCCAACAGGGGAGGTCAGGGATGTTCCTGTTGCTCACCTTGAGATCATGTTATCTGGCCAACTGAGAAATTATGTTAAAAATTAATACTATTTAAAGAGGGATCCCAACAATTTTTATAAAATTTTTTTGCATGATTAAATAATTAAACAAAGCAGTTTGTTGTGAAATGTGACATTGTAGAGAAACTTGCTGAGTCACAGTGGTGGTGATAGGAACCAGATGTCTGAAGCGTTTAGTGCCTTTAAAAGCCCCTTTACTGAAAGTTATTATATGAAATGGTTATGAATATGCTGTGTAATGCCTAAAACATGGTTTTACCATAGTTTTGAGAAGGTTTTGGCCTAAAATTAGTTTTCGTGGCAGATAACATTACCAACATTACATATATAAACTCCCTGGTGGTTCACTGGTGCTTTCATTGTAGAAATTGTGACCCCTGGTTCCTATCACCATGTTACATATTAAAACTGAGCGTTGTTCTTCTGTGTGGGACATGCGGTGTGCTGGTCTCGATGTGTTTTAATATCACTATAGTCTTGTGTTCCACTCTCAGCCCGTCCCAGAGGAGCTGCAAAACGGAGAGGGTTTTGGCTACATCATCGCCTTCCGGCCGATGGGCACGGTCACTTGGACCCGAGCGGTGATTTCTGCCCCCAGCGTGGCCAGATATGTGTTTCGCAACGACACACTACCACCCTTCTCACCCTTTGATGTCAAAGTGGGTGCTTTTAATAAACGAGGAGAGGGACCCTTCAGCTCTATCGCCACTGTGTTCTCAGCTGAAGAAGGTCAGCATCAGCCTGCATATACACACATACACACGCAGTCCGAACCCAAATACGGGTCATTAACTTTCTGTCCAATCCCATCTGTACTTTCACATATAAATTGACATCTTGTACATCTTCTATCGATATCTTGTATAATCTGGAATATATATATGTATATATATATATATATATTCTATTCCCTGTGTACCCTCCATCTCATTTCTCTACCTCAGACTCACTTATTGCATATATGGAAATGTGTACAACTGTGCATATCATAGCTTTTATTTCATAACATATTAATTAAGTTACAGAAAAACTGTACACTAGAAATAGTGCAATACTGGTGTAACTTAATGTGTGTATATAGACTCTAATATAGTATATAATATAGTAGAATTCTTTATATAATTTTTGTATTTCAGTACTACAAGGGGGCTATGCACATAAGGCTTTCACTCACCTTTGCACCTGTGTAAATGTGATATGACAATAAATGTGATTTGTTTTGATTTGATTTGATCATTAACTTTTGATAATGAAACTGACCTGAATATAACAAAATTCTGTTCAAAACTGACCCAAACTAGCGCATAATCACCCAGAGTGTCGAATAAAAACTGATCGAATAGGATATCATGGATAATGATAATGATGTAGTGGGATATTAGCTTTGACCTGTTTAATCCTAAAACCCTATTTCTTTACATAGAATTTATAACATATTGAACATACAGCATACAAATAATTTGTGGCAAACAAATTGCCCGCGCTAAATTGTACTTTCCTGAATCAGTTGGCCACTCTTTTAAATCTGCCACCATCATGTTGATGTGTTTTCTATTACTGTATGAAATACACTAAAAGAGGATCAGTGAGCTCTTTGTTCCATTTAATCAAAATAACAATAAAGCATCAGTGATGATTGATATTCCTTCCTATTAATATGTTCAATTCCTAGTTATATTTTTATTAATGCTTATTCAAAATAGTAGTTTGTGAGACAGACTGACTAAATATCTGGGCTTTGTTAGATCTTCTTTCTTCTTCTTCTGTTAGATTCAATGGCAGAAATAGCTGCTTTTAAGGTTAAGGTAATGGAAGTAGGAAGGAAGAATAAAGTAAGGAGAAAGACTTTTAAACCGAAAGCTAAAAAAGTGGGAGGCCAGCTGTAAGAACCCGACTATGAAATTTGAACCCGACCCGAGACATATTTGGAAAATGACATCCAAATTCTACATGAGGCGTCGGGTCCCATCAGGTTCGGACACTTTATCCACGCACAAACATACACATGCTCCTCACTGCGCCTCACACACAGGCATGACCTTGAATAGTAATGAAATAAGTTGATTCAGACAGCCTCAGCACCCTCCCTCTCCAGCCCCCCCATGCACACTCACTCCTGCACCACGAATGTCAACCCGATATTAGTTATTACGGCAATAGATTACCGCAAATCCTGCTAGACACTTACGGGCCTATCGGCGAGCTACAGTGTTAATTGAATTTGCCCAGCAGACTGTCCTCCTCCGTCACTCACAGATCCCATTAAAATGAAGTAGGGGGGTTTCTCTCAGGTGAGGATAGGGGTCTTATTCTCAGGCTTTAATCCAATTCTGCCTCTTTGTGCATGTGAAGTTGCTGAATGAAAAGAGTGAAAGCCTTACTGCTTCTCTGTCATCCGCAGTGCCTAGTGTAGCGCCCGAGAGAGTCATGGCTAGGAGCCTGTCAGCCTCTGACATCGAAGTGAACTGGGATGCCGTACAGTCGAGTCCTGAGAGAGTGCTCGGCTACGAGGTAAGAGTTATTAAACTCGCTTTCTGGCCATTTTCTTTCTTACCAATTCTTACCCAATTTTCTCTCAGTTGAATCAATGCCAGTTAGGTCTACCACCTGCTAGCACCCCTATCACATAATAGCTACCAGCAAGGGGATATTAAGGTTCTGCATATTTATCAGCATTAGTGAAAATCCCACCCTGATATTTGTAAGAAGCTTGTTTTATATACACCGATCAGGCATAACATTATGACCCCCTCCTTGTTTCTATGCTCACTGTCCATTTTATCAGCTCCACTAACTATATAGGTGCACTTTGTAGTTCTACAGTTACAGACTGTAGTCCATCTGTTTCTCTGCATCCTTTGTTAGCCCCCTTTTACCCTGTTCTCCAGTGGTCCGGACCCCCATGGACCCTCAGAGAGCAGGTACTACTTGGGGGGTGGATCATTCTCAGCACTGCAGTAACACTGATGTGGTGGTGGTGTGTTAGTGTGTGTTGTGCTGGTACAAGTGGATCAGACACAGCAGTGCTGCTGGTGTTTTTGATCCTGCAAAGGGTTCTTTAAGTGTTCTTGGTTCTATGTAGAATTTAAGAACGTTTTAAGAGTGTAGTTACTGAATGATAAGCTTTAGTATGTAATAAGCCTGAAATTTTAAGGTGTTAATTTAGAGAGGATGGAGGATAAAGAGGATAATGTGTCACAAAAACTTGCGAAATTATGCAAAATTAAATTAGAGATACCAACTAAACTGGATAACACTTTCTTTTACAGTTTCTTAAGTATTAGCCGAATTAGTGTGAGGTACAAATTCCAGAGTGCTAGGGTGACATGATGGAAGTTCCAAGACAGCCTGATTAAATTACACTGAAATGTCCAACTGGTTCTAGATATTAACTCAGTAATATGTAGTACAAACTTACAAAGTACTTTGGAGGTTGTATCCCACATGTGCTCAGTTATCCAGAACCTGTTTGGCATTTTAATGTAGTTTAACTGTTATGGAATATACCATCATGTTACCCAAAATAATTATCGAGTACTTTGGAGTTTGCGTCTCACACTTTCTTAGTTGATATCTAGAATTTTGGGGACTGTAAAAGAAGGCTTTAGCCAAAACAGCTAAGAATTCCGAGAAGCTCTGGCCTCTATAATTTTTTATATTAATTAACACTCTGAGGTATTCAAATTTATGATTTGCAAATTTGACAGTTCACAAACTTTGGTTGTAATATTTGGCCACATAAAATCATATCAGCCAATATTTACATTTATACAACAGTTAGTTCCGGCCACGCAAGCTGATTGGTTGAGAAGTGTTCTAACTAGTGTTCTAACGGCATAACATCACAGGTTTTTCACAAACACTGTATCACTCCGTTGCTAGGTAACGACTTTGACAGCTGTAGGAGACACTCAAGCCATTTGAATGTTTTTACTTTGCCACAAACAGAAAATGGACACTTATAAGATCATATTTGACCGACAGCTGATTTGTTCAGACTCTGAAGATGAGACTACACTAAATTCCCAAACGGTCAGTTGGTCTTTGTGGAGCTGGAGAACGAACTGCCGGCTGTGCAGCGAGTGGGCGGAGCTCGTTATTCTGACGTAGCAACAAGCTGCTCATTAAGGAACTATAATTTGGTGAAGGAACTGCGAACATTAAAACATATTAAACGCCGCGTTCACGACCCAGTTTACTAATTTATTACTTTACTTATTTAACTGTTGTATAAAAGCAATAGAACACTGGAGGAGTGTGTTATCGCCAATAACATCACGGCTGTGATGATCTACGGCGACCAAATCACAGCCGTGATGTTATTTCATGATAACACTCCCTCTGTGTTCTACTGCTTAATTAGGGCATTTGGCAGATGCTTTTATTCAGGGCAACTTACAGTTTTAATCACGTTACAAATGTAGGCAAATGCAGTGTTACCTGTCTTGCCCAAGGACACTGACTGGTGTAGTGCAGTGTGGTTGCTAGGGTGGGGAGTCGAACCCTAGTCTGCCACATGGAGGGCAGCAGTGCTGCCAAGCATACTATACTAATTGCTGTTATTGTTTGTGAGAACGTTTGAATCTTAAAATCAGTATTGAGATCAATGACAAAATTGTCATATTGTCCCAGTCTGGGAGAGTGAGGGCTAATGTGCTTCTTCCAAGACTTGAGAAGCCAGACATCTTTTTAAGCTACCACTTACACAATATCATAGGGTGCACTTAAAGGACAGCGCTGTTCTGCCAGTTCCACCCACAGTTGGCTGGCATCACAATGAACGATAGTGGGAGAAGAAACAAGGCGACAGAGAGCAGCACACTAAATAATGAAGGCAGAGGGAAAGCAGGGCAGTAGTGTTCTTGGACTCCTGGCCATGGACAGCTGTGGCACCAGCTAGCAGTCTCCCACTCTCTTACACCAGCTTTAACCAGTTCTCCATCACACACATGGCCCGGGCTCTCCTGCATGACCTTGAGAGTTTGCAGAGATGGTATCGTTCATCTTCTATCACTGGTTTTTAAACGTCCCAAGCTTTTAGCAGAGAGATGAAAATGCTCCAGGCTAGGCTTTTAAGAAGGCAGAAGAGAGTGTTTTCTCGCCCGGGCGCTCTTTTCTTCTCTGTCACCCCTGCCCCATGGCAAAAAACAAAAAAAAATGTCCACATCGCCATGGCAACAGCCATTTGGACTGGAAAGAATGCAGCTATCATGGAAGGTGCTTTGGGGTGACAAATTGAATGTAGAACGTTATGGATATATTTGCTATTCTTTGGTGAGCAGTGTCAGGTCAAACACTGGACAAGTGTTATGGTTATGTCTATCCACAAAATATACCTTACAGGCATCGAGTATTTCAGCAGTTTGGTAGCATCTTCTTTCACACACTTTAAAATGGTGGTTGTTGCCACCAATAATAAACACATTTTGTCATTTTCAGGGCTGTGATTAATGAAGGTGATTAATGAAGTATAGTTGGTGTAGTTAACCGTGATTATTTGCATTTGTCCTAAACAAAGCTTTATTACATTTAGAAAGCAGTGCATTTCAATGTAGCAATATGAGTGGACTGAATAAGCTTTATTCAAATGTATGTAGTACTTTCAATATTTCAGTAACATTATTTGATCTGAATACAGTACCAGAATAAGAAAATCACACTTTCCATAGAGTGAGAGTTTTTCCAGTTTTTATTACTGATGTCCAGTGAGAGTGACAGAGGCTACATGGTGGCTGCATGGCACGTGGTGGTGGTGTGTTAGTGTGTGTTGTGCTGGTACGAGTGGATCAGACACAGCAGTGCTGCTGGAGTTTGTAAACACTGTGTCCACTCACTGTCCACTCTATTAGACACTCCTACCTTGTCAGTCCACCTTGTAGATGTAAAGTCAGAGACGATAGCTCATCTGCTGCCGCACAGTTTGTGTTGGTCATCCTCTAGCCCTTCATCCGTGGTCACAGGATGCTGCCCACAGGACGCTGTTGGCTGGATATTTTTGGTTGGTGGACGATTCTCAGTCCAGCAGTGACACTGAGGTGTTTAAAAACTCCAGCAGCACTGCTGTGTCTGATCCACTCGTACCAGCACTACACACACTAACACACCACCACCACATCAGTGTTACTGCAGCGCTGAGAATGATCCACCACCCAAATAGCACCTGCTCTGTGAGGGTCCATGGGGGTCCTGACCACTGAAGAACAGGGTAAAAGGGGGCTAACAAAGTATCAGAGAAACAGATGGACTACAGTCTGTAACTGTAGAACTACAAAGTGCACCTATATAGTAAGTGGAGCTGATAAAATGGACAATGAGCATAGAAACAAGGAGGTGCTCATAATGTTATGCCTGATTGGTGTATATTGTCTGTTTCTTTTTTCTAAACCCCACCCCCGTGCCACATCCTTTTCTTTTGTGTTGTTGGTGTACAGACACTAATGATTGTATGCTAACTATGAAAAATGAATAAAAAAGTTATTAACAAAAATGCAAAGCAAATGTAATTGTTACTATGTAACTAAATATGTAATGAATTATGTAGCTATGTAAAAGTGTTATATGGTATAGCTCAAATAGTATAGTGATTGACAGTATGTAGTTAATAAGCATTGCCACTGCAATATCTCGGCCCACTGTGTGGAGAAAAAATACAGACACCAAACCCATCTAGTGAACGTGTTGGGATTCTGCGTGCTCAGTTCAGTCCATCGTGATTTGTCACACTGCTTTAAGCCTTGTACGGAAGAAAATGTACCAGACATTTCCAAACTTTGTAGCCCAGGATAGAGCTGTCTGGAAACAAAGCTTAGCGGTTGTGGGAAGAAAAAAAAAAGAGTCTCTTTTTTAGGTGAGTCTGTTCAAGAGAGTGAAGAACCAAGTCAGGCTAAAACTGTTCCTTTTGAGCCTTAAGAAGTTTGCTTATATCACATAGCACTTTGGACTTGTAAAGACCAAAGTGCTGCGTGACATAAAAGACGTCTCTACCTGCGTCGAAGGCAGCAGCTTGCTGTCTGAAGCGAAAGTTCTGTGTTTGCACTGCATTTCTCCTACGCTGCAACTTTTCAGTACAGATGCACAATCCAGCGCAGCCAAAAACGCTGCGGAAATACTGACGTAGGTGAATATTTCAACACTGAGAATTCAGTAAGAAATAGATTAATTTGGGCGAAAAGAGCAAACATGAGTACAAGCAGGACATGGTCTCCAGATTATACAGGACGAAAGGAAACCTGTGAGTTTGCACAGCTTTGTTGTAGAAAATCTTCCTGAAGTTCTTGCACATGCTGCTCTGAGATAAAGAGGGCACCGGATTGGAAAATACATCGCTGATGAGCTAAAACTCAGAGCTGTGGACTCAAGTCATATGACTTGGAGTCACGAATTTGATGACTTTAGACTCTTAGACTTGACTCAAGAAAATCAAGAAAGACTTGGGACATGACTTGAGCGTCATGACTCGAGACTCAAAGTGGACTCTAGGGGGACTCTACACAGTCAGTTATTGTTCATGTGAATGAATTTGTTTCCTGCTGTAAATTGAATAAACAGCAACGTCATCAAATGCCTGTTACTGTGTTAATACTTGGCTTATTTAATCTCAGAAGACAAGTGAAGCATTAGAGCTCAAGTTCGCCTGCAAAAGCTGGAAACAAGCAAAGCATCAACAGCATCAATTCGCCCTTCGCTCAGCACTCAAACTCCTGCCTTACTAGAGAAACTCACCAGGCGAACTGCCCGTTTTCCTCATGGTAGCAAAACTAAAGACACACAGCTCTCCCTGTTTAAATGATTTGAACTGCTTCTGCAGGTAAAGCCAGCGCAGCATTCACCACAAGGCTGAAGTTGACTTTTTATTCGCCAGCTTCATATTCAAATTTGACGTTCCACCTTAAATAATGCAGCAGTGAGGCGCCGGAATGTAACTGCTGTACCATTTAAGGTGGAACGGTAAAATTTAAATTAGAATCTGCCGGAAAAAAGTCAACTACAGCTTGTCTGTCAACTTCACCACTGTTTTGTTGCCTTTCTGTAAACTTTGTTCAGCTTAGTCGTCTAAATTCAATTCAAACTAGTGGTTATTTTATTTGGCTGAGCTAGTTTTTATTTTAATCCTGTGCACCCAATCATCCCAAAAATATAGAGAAATAGAAATTATCTTCAGATATAAAGTTTTTTTTTTCTTTAATTAAGTACTTTTAAAATTCTTTTCATGTGTAGTTACACTGCTCTTTGTGTAAACAGCACGCCTGTCGAGGCTGTCTGTACCATGGATTTTGTATTTTAGTTGGAATGGTATAAAAATAATAATAATAAAAAATTTAAATATAGCCGTACACTACTAACGTGCTGTCATCGAAAGGCTGTATTACAGTTACCATTATTCAGTGGCCTTAAATTAGCTGAAGAATGCAGACTGACTTGTTTAGGACTCAAAGATTAGGACCATCGACTTGGGACTCGCTTACTACTCTGAGATAAAGTGGGCGTGAGATTGATCAGCTAAACCTCAGAGGTGTGGACTCAAGTCATATGACTTGGAGTCACAAATTTGATGACTTTAGATTCAACTTGAGAAAATCGAGAAAAACTTGTGACTCGACTTTGACTTCAACACCACAGACTCGGACTCTGACTCGGACTTGAGCATCATGCCTCGAGACTCAAAGTGCAATGTTTATGACCTTAAATTAGCTGAAGAATGCAGACTGACTTGTTTAGGACTCAAAGATTAGGACTATTACTTGGGACTCGACTTGAGACTCGCCTTCACTGACTCTGGACTCAACTGTCTTGACTTGGGACTTGACTCGGGACTTGAGTGTGAAGACTTGAGACTTACTTGTTACTTGCAACTTACTGACTTGTTCTGTCTTAATCCAGTGGTCACCTCCAAGCCAAATCTAGCACAATTCGTTCACGATGACATTTTACTACAACTGAATCCCGGTCACCCTGCGATGGACTGGCGACCTGTCCAGGGTGTGTCCTGCCTTCCGCCCAATGACAGCTGGGATAGGCTCCAGCACCCCACCGCGACCCAGAAGGATAAGCGGTTTAGATGATGGATGGATGGATGGATGAATCCCGGTCACTGTCGTAAACCCCTCAGCATTTTGCCTTAGCTAAGAGAAACGTGTGAGGGATTTTATGCTTACCGAATCCCCTTGGATAGAGGAAAAGCCTCCCTTAAGGTTCATACTTAGGGGAAAAGCACAAGGTGTTTCATGCAGCCGGGCCTTATGTCTGTTTCTTCTTTTGGTGGTGATAAAAAGTGCTGCAGTCGTGTTTTTGAGCTGGGAATAGAGAACAGAGCAGCTCTGTTTTCCTTCAACTAAACATCTTGTTTATTTTAAACCTTGAAATAGTTTAAATGAGATAGTCTAGAGCTCCAGTCATGCGGAATATGTGGCAGTCTGGACAGCTGCACTTGAACGTTCCACTATTAGCAGATTTTGGTCAGATACTGCAGCTGTCTGAGGATGTGATATCAGGATTTCTTCCAGCCTCCTTCTTTTGAGTGATGACTCTGTCTCTCAGTTTTCTGCCATTCTTCTTGTTTTCTTACTGCAGCGAACACCTAATGTACCGTTAAGGAACGCTTAGACGTGTTGATCGTAGCCGCTAAAGGAAGCAAGAAGAAAAACCATCAGCTCAAGATTAAACACAAAATACAAAACCATTCCAAAAATGCTCAGTGAGTAAAGAAGCTGGGAGTAAAGTCCTCTGGGCAAATATTGTTATTGTCTAATTATTCATTGACTTAACTCTTGTGACACTTAATATCCAAACACTGGTATTATGTATGACCTAGAGGTTAATAATTGATTATTTCATTTCCTCTTAAAAATGATTTCTCACCCGAGCACAGCTAAGTGTTAAGCGAAATTTTATATCCTCAAAAAAAAATCAATTAGACCACATTTCAGCAGGAAACCACATCCCCTGCAGCTATTGATATACTGTAATGCGTTCGCCCGTCTGCACGCTGTAGGAGATGATGTCAATGATAATTCAATTGATTATCGATAGTGTTGAGGTGATTTAATGTAATTAGAATGGTGCCATGTGAACTGAGCAATCTGCTATTGATTCGCTTCAGTGAGATACAATAAGCAGAGATCCTTTAACATCCATTAGTGACAGAAACCAATGGCAGATCTTAACAGAATGGCTTACAATGAGACAGAAGGAAGTCCTACATCAATGCTGTCTTTGGCACTGTATTAATTAGAAAGTTTTATTTGTGGATTGTTCTTTTGCAATTCTAGAGAAACTTGCAGAGGCAGAACTGTTCACAGTGGTGGTGATAGGAACCAGACGTCCACCTCTAAAAGCTCCCTCACAGAAAGTCACTACATGAAATTGTTGTGAATACACTGCCTGATGTCTGAGACAATGTTTTATGATAGTTTTTGGTCTAAAAAACGGGTGGACGGGTACATTCAGGGCGCTGTAAGACAAAATAGCCCTTCATTTATATGTATTTTTTTTATATTTGCCACTATTTCACCATTATATACGTTCCGTTTAAAACTCTGGTGGTTTTGAATAGTAAATAAAATGGCTACATTTGTCATTGTGACCCCTGGTTCCTATCACCACCACTGTAAAGAAACCAAGAGTCTACAATGAACTTTTCCATCACACACCACTCTGAATTTACATCTCAAGCACTGAAGTGTACAGAAACTTTGAAAAGTCAGTGTAATTCTTTAACAAGCCAGTAGTTGATCAGTAACTGGCTGCTCATTACTGCTTTATTAAACAATAAATAAGCTGTTCTACTTGTGTTTTATACATAAACTTTTTCACCTTTTAGGTGTCCTTTATTGTGCCCTTATTAAACCTATACGTATTAAGCCTGGTAACTAGTGATTAATCGGCTGCTTATTACTACGTTATTAAGCAGTAACTATGGTGAATTAAGCACTTCTCCAGTCATTTTTATTTGTGTTTATTTGTGTTTACTTTGTGGATGGGTGTGTCCCAATTCAGGGGCTGCATCCTTTGAAGGACACTGTCTATGAAGGCATGTCCTTCGAAGGCTGCGTAGACCCGCTGAAGGCTGAACTGAAATAATAAGACGGTCTGCTTTACGGTGGATTTCCTGTGTGTATCGTAGCACCACCGTTCCCACCCTTACTGCTGCATCACGAAACGCCGCTCCTGTCAAGTTCTTTTAAAGTTCTTTAAAGACGGAGCCAAAAACTTTGATTTCAATTTTTTATTTTTTCATTTATTGCTCTTTGCTCCCTAAAACAAAATTAAATGTTAGTGTAAGTTTTGCTTCAGACCACATTGGCTTTATTTAATATTGGTATCATTAGCTATTTCACTCAGTTTTAACCCAATGCTTACATTTATAAGTGTCTCCTCAGCCGCCGTTCGCTCCTCTCCTGACGCCGCCGTGTTCTCGAATCCTCGCCGGCACACAGTGAACCTCGGGATATATCTGGGTCCACTCGTCAGGTTCATCGTTGCCACGCAAAAGAAGGAAACATTTCTTGGCTGCATATGAAGGAGACTTCAAAATAGGATAGCCTAGTCGTGCCGCTGTGACGCAGTCGGCCTTCAAATGCAGCCTCCGAAGGATGCAGCCCCTGAATTGGGACACGGCTTATAAGTTGTTGTTTTAAAATGTACTTCAGGTTACATAGCTGTGTTCTAATGGGACTCTAAAGCTGGTCTCGAGAAAAAGATACAGGTCCTCTTCATCCAGAGACCGAGATAAGACAGAGACCATTTATTGGTGCTGTTGAGTCTCGAGAAATAAAACATTATATAATACATAAATAAACCTGTTCTGGAAAATGCTTAGATCACCCAAGGTGTTGCGTAATTAAGCAGTAATAAGCAGCATTTTTAATAACTACCTATTGGCTTGTTAAAGCTGAAGCCTTAAGGCCATTAAAAGGTCCCCCTAGTGTAAAGTGGTGTGTTTTTGTGTTTAACATGGTTTGTATTGACAGAGAACCACTTGTCTCTGAGCTGTGGTCAATTACAGATGTGTGTTTCCCTGTTGTGCATCCCTGTTGTGTCCAGGTGGTGTATTGGGAAGATGACACCAAGCCGGACACTGTAGGCAGAGTGAGAATCAGTGGGAACTCCACCGCCGCCAACGTTAGCGGTCTAGAGGGAAACACTCTATACTTTCTGGCTGTGTGTGCCTTCAACACTGCTGGGACTGGCCCTCAATCTGTTCCCGTTAATGCTACCACTAAGAAACCACGTGAGTATCCTGCAAAGTGGGGGGGGGGTGGTTAGGGTTAGTTCTGGATGTTTCTGAGAACAGTTTTGAGTTCCTGTGAGTCTTAATGGTGAGAGTTAACAGTGTAACACTGAACCTCTCGAACGTCCAGCTTAGTATTCAGTAACTGCTGTGAATTATTCCATAGCTATTGTTAAACTAATGTGTAAGTTATGTAGTTATGATAGTGAGGAATGGAAGTTCATACGGTCCCTTATAGTTTAAATTCACAAGGAACCCTTTTAAAAAAGGGTTCTACAGTGGTGTGAAAAAGTGTTTGCCCCCTTCCTGATTTCTTATTCTTTTGCATGTTTGTCACACTTAAATGTTTCAGATCACCAAACAAATTTAAATATTAGACAAAGATAACAAAATGCAGTTTATAAATGAAGATCTTTATTATTAATGAAAAAGAAATCCAAACCTACAAGGGCCCTGTGTGAAAAAGTGATTGCCCCCTAAACCTAATAACAGGTTGGGCCACCCTTAGCAGCAACAACTGCAATCAAGCGTTTGCGATAACTGGCAATGAGTCTTTTACAGCGCTGTGGAGGAATTTTGGCCACTCATCTTTGCAGAATTGTTGTAATTCAGCCACATTGGAGGGTTTCTGAGCATGAGCCGCCTTTTTAAGGACATGCCACAGCATCTCAATCGGATTCAGGTCAGGACTTTGACTAGGCCACTCCAAAGTCTTAATTTTGTTTTTCTTAAGCCATTCAGAGGTGGACTTGCTGGTGTGTTTTGGATCATTGTCCTGCTGCAGAACCCAAGTGCGCTTCAGCTTGAGGTCACAAACAGATGGCTGGACATTCTCCTTCAGGATTTTTTGGTAGACAGCAGAATTTATGGTTCCATTTACCACAGCAAGTCTTCCAGGTCCTGAAGCAGCAAAACAGCCCCAGACCATCACACTACCACCACCATATTTTACTGTTGGTAAGATGTAATGGGACATACACCTTCCAAAAAGTTCAACTTTTATCTCGTCAGTCCACAGAGTATTCACAAAGTCTTCAAGATCAAGATGTTTTCTGGCAAAACTGAGATGAGCCTTTATGTTCTTTTGGCTCAGCAGTGGTTTTCGTCTGGGAACTCTGCCATGCAGGCCATTTTTGCCCAGTCTCTTTCTTATGGTGGAGTCATGAACACTGACCTTAACTGAGGCAAGTGAGGCCTGCAGTTCTTTGGATGTTGTTGTGGGTTCTTTTGTGACCTCTTGGATGAGTGGAATTTTGGTCGGCCAGCCACTCCAGGGAACACCACTGTTCCATGTTTTCACCATTTGTGGATAATGGCTCTCACTGTGGTTCGCTGGAGTCCCAAAGCTTTAGAAATGGCTTTATAACCTTTTCCAGACTGATAGATCTCAATTACTTTGTTTCTCATTTGTTCCTGAATTTCTTTGGATCGCAGCATGACGTCTAGCTTTTGAGGATTTTTGGTCTACTTCACTTTGTCAGGCAGGTCCTATTTAAGTGATTTCTTGATTGAGAACAGGTGTGGCAGTAATCAGGCCTGGGTGTGGCTAGGGAAATTGAACTCAGCTTTCCAAAGATGTGATAAACCACAGTTAATTTATGTTTTAATGGGGGGGCAATCACTTTTTCACACAGGGCCCTTTAGGTTTAGATTTCTTTTTTCCCTTAATAATAAAGATCTTCATTTATAAACTGCATTTTGTGTTAACTTGTGTTATCTTTGTCTAATATTAAAATTTGTTTGGTGATCTGAAACATTTAAGTGTGACAAACATGCAAAAGAATAAGAAATCAGGAAGGGGGCAAATACTTTTTCACACCACTGTATATAGCACCAAAGGGGTTCTTCTATTGTTACAGTGTCAAGCTTTTAACAATAGAAGAATCCTTTTGGGTGCTGTATGGACCCCATTTCAAAAAGGTTCTGTATAGAACCATCTGCAGTACATTCTCCATCAATCTGAAGAGTTTTTTCATGATGCAAAGAACCCTTTAATCACACAAAGCATTCCTTGAGAGTTGATGGTTCTATAGAACCAATTTCTTTACTAAAAAACCCTTGAAGAACCATCTTTTTTGAGAGTGTAATGTGCTGTTGATGTTGACCTTTTTGAAAAAGGGTTCTATATAGCACCCAGGGGGTTCTTCTATTGTTACAAGGTCAACCATTGACAGCACATTCTCCATCAATCTAAAGAATGTTTTCATGATGCAAAGAACCCCTGAAGCATGCAAATGGTTCTTTGAGAGTTTATGATTCTATATAGAATAATTTTTCTTTACTAAAGAACCCTTAAAGAACCACCTTTTTTAAGTGTGTAGTTTACAGTGGAAAGGGAGAATGTTGGTCTTTTAAAATTCATGGGGCGTTTATACATGCATGTTGTGCCCTCAAGAGCAGGTTTACCCAGATTGGAAATAAAACATGGATTTAGGTTCCCTTAGGCTTTAAAGCAGGGCTTCCCAAAGTGGGGCCTGTGGGCTAAAGTTGGCCTGCAAGGACATTTGACATGACCCACCAGAAACCTACCCAATGAGAGAACAAATGTATTTTTATACAAATAATTTTCTTTTAACATTTTAAATACTTTTAATGATAAAACTCACAGCCTGAAGTTACAAAAAATAAAAAAACCTTAAAAAATTGAACACCGGGCAATCATCACTGCACAGACTACACTGTTACTGTACCAAAAAAATGACATAAAACTAAATTGTCATATTAAAAAATGAATTAGTATGATGCACTCATACCGCGACCCTAGCTGGACTAAGCGGTTAACGACGATGATGATGATGATGATGCACTCATAATTCAAATTAAAACCCAGTTGTCTTTTTGGCCCTTTTTGACCACAAACGTTTGAGCACCCCTGGTTTAAGGGGTTAACAGTATAATATGGAAATACAGCACAGAAAGCTAAACTCATCAGAATGCTGATGTGTTTCTGTCCGTCTTTCTCCCTTTCATTCATTTATTCATTCGTTCTTTCTTTCAGCTCCAGGGCAGCCTCCTCAGAATGTGGAGTGGAGTCTGATTGGCTCCCAGCTCACACTGCAGTGGGATCCAGTCATAGCTCTGGATACTGAGTCTGAGGTCACTGGATATGTAGTAAGTGGCATTATGCTTCATATTGTGCTTCACTTATGTAGAGCACTTTGTATTGTGGGTATTAGTTAATAGGTGGGTATATCTAAATCAGTCCTCTCTTTATTTCTTATGCAGTTTCAGAAACAGTAGGACAAACGAAAGGATTTCTTAGATGACAGTGTAGATGACATACTTTTGTCCATTTTGTGGCAAATCAGTGATGCAGGTCAGGCATGCAGTTTCCACAGTGATAATTGATGGGTGTAAGCTTCAATTACTTGTTAACTGCATTACTGTGCAAAAATCTTAGTCAGCCAAGAACATTAGCCACTTTTACACGCAGCCTGATAATCTGTTAATAATCTGACTAATGGCTCAATTGGAATAGAATACGTCCATGTATACTCCTCAATCAGAATAGTCTAGTCTGATTGAGGCCATTCAGAATACAATTTCTATCTGATTGATCGAGGTGGGTAATCCTGTAAATAATCCGTTAAATAGAAGAATAATATCCGTGTAAACACCTGTATCTGATTACATTCCCTATCGGAAAGTTTAAGTCCGTTCTAATCATGTTCGTCGCGTCACAGTGAAAGATTATGCCGTTCAGCGTGGCGGAGCAGAAACTGGTCTGCAGAGGAGACGAAGTTTATGCTCTGATCTTTAAAAGACGGCGGTGGGACGGACGTCCAGCTTATGTGTCTCAGAACACGACGTCTTCCTCTCGGCCTTCTTTAATAAGGACATGTGAAGGACGTTTTCCTGAGTCTGACATCATTTTAAAGCAATTAAAAACACAAGCGCTGCTCACTGCTGCTCATCTCACTCTGACTGGACTCACGTGATGCTTGTTTTCATGGTAACATCTACACTAAGTGGTGCTCTATGTGTAATTTTGAATCGGATTACATGTAGTGAGCATGTAAACGGAGATTTTCCATCAGATTGTTGAGTAGAGTGAGAATAAACACCTCAGTCTGAACGTGCGCAGAACATACTTAAACTTTCAGATAGGGAATGTAATCAGATACAGGCGTTTACACAGTTATTATTCTTCTATTTAATGGATTATTTAGAGGATTACCCACCTCGTTCAATCAGATACAAATTGTATTCTGAATGGCCTCAATCGGACTAGACTATTCCGGTTGAGGTGTTTACATGGACGTATTCTGTTCCAATTAAGCTATTAGTTGGATTATTAATGGATTATTAGGCTGCATGTAAACGTGGCTAGTGTTATATGTGATCTCATAACAGCATGACATCTGCTATAACATGTTTGTGGCAGGTTTGTGTCTATGTTATGTAACAGAGCTCAAGAAAGTGTGCAAAAAATGAATTAATATGTATTCAAATATTGGTTAGAATAATACAGGTTTGGTTCCTGACTCCAGCCGTCGCAAGGATTTGTTCAATTCCATTAGCAGCACCTGATCGGATTGATTAGACAAAGTAGGTATTGGATGGTAACTGTAAATACTGTGCTTCCTGTGGAAAGATTTGGAAACATCTTTCCTGATAAACTGTGTTAAATCACATTTGTCTCCACACCACATTTGAAATGTTTACAAAGGAATCAATACGTGAAGAAATAATATTTAAACAGTTGACCATCTAATTAAAGATGGCACATTTTCGTACTACAGGTGCTGTACAGGCGACACCGGAACAACGACATGTACACCATCACCACCACCAAAACCACGGTGGAGCTGACCCTCTCCCCCAACGACAACTACGTCATTCAGATCAAGAGCCTGAGCGAGGGGGGGCTGGGAGAAGGAAGCGAGCCCATCCACATCCACCAACTCAGTGAGCATCTTCCTTACTAACTCACCCACTCCACCCCCACACATCCCCTCCTTTTTATTTCTCCCTTCTGCCACCATTCATAGGCTTCTGATGGCGATTCAATCATCTGGCAAGCGCGTTTATTTTGGCCTGGCCACGTTCCCCTCCATCCGTGTATAATAGACTTCTTTTTTTTTTCTTTCTCGAGCCGCGCCGGAGCATCCGACCTTTTTAGAAATTCACGTTTTCGCGGCTATCCATCTCTGTCAGACGCTTATTATTCCTTGTTGACTGCCGAGCGAAGCGGCATATAAAACAGCGGAACCGGCTCTCTCTCTGCTAAACCCCCCACCACCCCCCAACCCATTCAAGCAGACAGAAATTGAAGCACGCCTTTTTCTCTCTCCCTCTCCATCCCCTCCTCTTCTGAAAGCGATCGGCTTTCTGACGCACCCCCAGCCTTATCACCGCTGGATTCTTCTAATGGTCTTTCGTGTTGAAAGCTATTAATAATGTAGATCTAGAGACCATGTTTGCGCGGGTTTTTCTTAATGAGTTGTCAGAAAGCTGAGCGTGTAAACGGTCCTTATTTGTCATGTTTTTTTTTCTCCTCCAGGCTTTTAGGTCTTGGTTCTAAAAGGTTTGTTTTGGTCTGTTTTTTCAGGCATGGGCGCCCAAGGCTCTGGAGTGGCTAGGCCAGGCTGTCTCACTCTCTCTCCTGTCCTCTTTACTGCACTGGCGGCCCTCAATGCCTCCTGAGGGCTTTCTGCTGTGAACGCTGCCTCCACACCTTCGGCCTCTCTCTCTTTTACACATACATACACTGCCTGGCGAAAATTGGGAACACCTTGCCTTCTTTTTAACTTTTCAGACTATTGTTTGATTTCTGTTATTACTTTTCAATTAATTTTTCATTTTTAGTTATAGATATTTAGCTTTGACACAGCTTCACGTTCATCAAAGTGTCTTCCTTGGTATGAAGAGCAGCTTTGGCAGGTTTTCTTTTCCGAACTATTGTTAAAAACACATAGTGAAACTCTTTTGGCCCAAAGCTGGTTTAAACACCTGAAAGGTTTGAGTGTTGATGAGTGCTGACATCACAAGGAGGGGATCAAATGCATAGGCTTTGGCTTTATTCCCAAAGTAGCACTGTCGCTAATGTTGGCACAAACATTTCCACATATGATATTGTTTTTCTCCTGATTACACTGCAAAAAAGATATCTTGGCAGTTAAAATAATCCAAAATCTAGTCAGTATGTCTAATATTTCTCAATCTGAGACTGTTGTATAGGTATACGGTTATTCAGCCACAATATATGTTTTACATGTTTTAAATCGTTTTGGCGAAACCATCTGTAGCCTCAGGCTACAAAAAATTCTCAATCAGTGCAAAGGGGCAAAATATAACTAAAAACAATGAAATAACCCAAAATCTAGTCGATATGTCTAATATTTCCAAATTGGAGACTCTTGTAAGTAAAGGATTATTCAATTTCTATATGTTTTACATGTTTTAAATCATTTTTTGTAGTGAAATTGTCTTATTTTAATGTCAGACGCTTGTTTCAAGAAATTATGCTGCCATTGCTGCCAATCTGCATAAGATTAAGACCATTTCAGTAAATAAAATGACTAAAAATATCTGGAATAATCTTATAATATTCTTTCAACAATGTATGATTAATGAAGATTAGATGCGAGGCACAGTCCGATACCTACTTTCTCGTATTACACAAAAATCAATGGAACTGCACTAATACAGGCTATATATATATATGTATATATATATATATATATATATATATATACATAAATAGAGAGAAGAATTTTGTGTAATTATGAAATTAGAACATTAGAACATATATTGATTTTATTTATATATTAATATTCATAATAACTTGATTTTATGTAAACTCTTTATTTATTGCCAGCTTTTCCGGTTATCGGTTTTGATTTCCAGTGTGTCCTAAATTTTGGCTTTAGTTTCAGTGCATCACTATTTTAGATGATTTCACTTGCCAAGATATCATTTTTTGCGCTGTAGTCTTTAACATGTTTTTGCAAACTAACAAATAAAAAATGCTCATTTGTTTAAAACCAAAAGCTGGTTGTCCCCAAACCTTGACAGGCAGTGTACAGACATACACCATGCTCTTAACTCATCCCTGGCCATCGCTGCCCATCTCTGTCTGGCTTGATGGGATTGCCCCCGCATCCGTGTCAGTCACTTTCGGGGATATTGGAATGTCAAACAGACACACGAGACAACTCTTCATGAAGGAAACATGCAGAAGAGCGATTACCACGGCTGGAACGGTTACTGAATTAGTGGGCTTGATCATCAAGGAAATGAGTTTTAGTACCTTGCACAAAGAAACTCTCTTTTTTTCTCTCCTTTTTTAAATTTAGCTCCTTCTGAAGTACACTTCCATGTCTGGAGTGCACATGTCGGCTTCTTTCATGTTTTGCATCTGGTTCTCCAAAACAATCAATGCCTTAAATTCATTTACATACCAAAGCAGACAGCATAATTGATGAAAAAGCATAAGAACAGCCTCTAATTCAATAGAGTTCGTTTCCAGACTTCGGGGTCACCTGCAGTTATGGGTTCTGCTGTGAGTAATCAGATCCATCGCTCTCCTCAGCGGAATTTCTTTTGAAATTGTGAAGCTTGAATGCAGTTCTGATATTTATGTCGGTGGTTTTGTTCCAAAAACGCTAGAAATGTGACATTTATTGGGCTTTTTTTGTAAGACAATGGAAATCCAGTAGAAAAACAACACAAATCTATATTTAAGTGACACCAATCTGTGTGCGGAAGCTCCAAGTAACTCCTGTCTTGTTCCTATTTTACTCCTGAGCTTGCAAGTCAATCTTAACCAAGACACGCCGTTGAATTGAAGTCACGCACCCAAATGGAGCCTGTCGGAAGCAGTGGTGATTGAAGTTTTCCCCTTAGATCGCTTTTCCATTCTCTTTCTTTGAGGTTAGGGCTTGAGTAGATGGTTCTAGATCCTGGTAAGTGGGCAGCTCCTACCAGTATCTCAGCAACCAGTCCTATTACCTTCGCTCTATCACTTTTATCTAACTTCCCCCACATTCCCATTACTCCAGACTGGATCGCTATTAGGCCTCTAACAGAACTGTCAGTTCCTGAGCAAGAGAAACCACTTCTCTGTCCCTTTGATGGGATATAGCGTTTTGTTCCCTTCCTAGCACCTCTTAAATAATGAATGGCTTGTGCATTAGGCATTCTGCACAATTAAGGCTGGCGTTTCAATAGAATATGTGCTATACTTGTTAAATGGCAGAGCAGGCTTGGCATGCAATTTTTCCCCCTACGTTTCCACTTCTGCAAGCAGCCCCCAGAATCTAGAAGTGGGTTAATAAAGTCGGCAAACATTCACCTGTTAGATTCCACTCCGTATGAAAGCTTTGAATAAAACTAGTGCCTTGATGAGAGCTGAGTACCAACGTACCAAATTCTTGCAAGAAGGAGAAGCATCAGCAGGTTCTTTGTTCGCTCTGTATTTGGTAAACCGGTAAATACGCTTGCGAAGATTGGTACCGACTAAGTGGTGAGACGTGGAGCACTTCAGTGCAAATTGGCTTCATGTTAAAAATTTTATAGCACTTTTGACAGACGTCAGGAAGCTGAAAGCCTCACAAAGGCAGAGATGGGGAGAAAAGCCTACACCTTGATTTGCTGCACATTATGAGGTTGCCTGAGGTTGCGAGAACAGGCCTGGCCTCAAAGATCACTGCAGCTCCGTACGTGGTGTAAGTGCACGGGGCTATAAGAGGATTCGGTTTGTGAGAGGAGATTAGCAGATATCAGCCATGATGTGGGCCAGATTTTATTTGGTGATAATTTGGTGGCAAAACGGAAAAGTTCACCTATTTCATTATTCTGCATTTACCTGCTTGCTCTAAAAAAGAAGGTGGGAGTGAACATATTTCCGAAGGTTCAGGATGTTAACATAACATAGAATTGTAGAATTGTTGAATTGGACCTGCAGGTCCAAATACTGGACTGGACAGATGTTAGAGAGGTGACCATGTTTGAGAATTTTGTTCCAGTTCTGACACCAAGTAACATTGAGTGTTAATAGGAAGGGTTCACCAGTTTGTGTTTACATATAAAAATATTACATAAAAATCATTTTTACACACACGTGTACCATTTGAATTGGAAAACAATGAATAATAATAATAATAATGGGATATTACATATGACATAAAGATATGTAAAACATTGGAAAGAAAAAATATCATGCCCTAAATAAAATAACAACACAGTTACAAACACTTGGAGAAAATGAGCCACAATCTAGGCATGTTTCATCCTTTTACATTTTGTGAATATTTAATAATGAGGACCAATAGAAATGATCCAATTGTTTTTTTAGTGGTGCATTAACGTACATTATATTTATGTAATTACAAAAAAGTATTGATTTATTTAAACTGTTAAACAGTAATTACACATCAGTGTTCTTTTCTTTATATACAAAGTTACCACTTCAGAGAAGTTTTTTTTTTTTTGTTACATATCGTGTGCAAAAGTTTAGGCACCCCTGGTCCAGTGACATGATTTTCTGTTTATTTTCTAAGTGAATTAACACATCCGCTACAGAGAACACACTTCTGCACATTTTAATACACGATTATTATTCATTTACTGAATTTAATATATTGGGAAAAAATATTAAATGTGTGCAGAAGGTTATGGCACATTTTATATTTTAGGTGTTTTTTTCCAATATCTGTCCAAAACAAAAGAAATATCTCCATTTTTTTGCAATTTTTAGTTTTCTATATCATTTGAACACTAGAGCTGCCCATTACATTGTGTAAAACGTCTTATGACGAATAGACCAATAGAAATGCTCCAAAACGACTTGGAATAAAATCTCTTTACATTATTTTACATTAAAAGTTGAGAATGTTTTTGCTTCTCCAGTAAAATGACCATTTTGGAGATTTTTTTTTTGGGACAGTGACGTTATGTTCTCAATTCATTCAGCAAATGAGTAGAAATTGTGCACAAAAATGCTGCGTAAAGGACGTGTTCACTTATTTTCACTTAGAAAAACAACAAAACTTGTAAATTGACCAAACTTTTGCATATGCCTGTGTATGGGTTAAGGGCGTGTTGGTCAGTCTGTAAGGAACCATGCCTTTGCCAGGTATCTGCTCTGCTGACTCTGTGACGTGCACGCTCTTTTTAAAAGTCTCGAGCGAGCACAAAGAAATGAACCAAGGTGACACGGACCTCGGCTTACTCAACGAGAGCAGGTGCGGAGCGGCCTGCGGTGGCCTGACAGAAAGAGCTCCAATCTGGCCAGCCTATCTGTTCCCTCCCACACTTTCGTGAACGTCTGGAGCTCCTTGATTAGGCTGCACTGGCCCAGTCAATGAGATATTGATTTTTGTGCTCTATTATTGAGGCTGTCACAATGCAGACTGCTGATTGACTGATGCCAGTTCTCCTGCTGCCATCTTTTCCCAGTGCTAGCTCTAAGGCTGTTCGAGATGTCCTTGCACCCATCCTGCCCCGCCAAGTGCTTCGCTAGTCTTTAAGCAATTCAGAGTAATATCAGGTGGTGGAAAACATGGAGGCTCTCAAAGAAAAGAGCAGGAATGGTTTATTCCTCTGCTGCGCCGGCCTCGATGCTAATGTGTTCATTTAAGTGAATGACGGCCCCCCGTTTGTGGTATAAAAGGCTGTCTGGACACATTATGAGTATGACAGAGAAGTTTGTATATGAATATTATGTGATTTATGCCTCAAAAGTAGTAATAGAAGTA